TTGAAGTATAACCTAAGTTAAAATATGGGGAATACCTCTAACCTCTTAAAAAGTTGTAGATGTGTAATGCGAATAATTTTTGTGTGATTTGGGGAACGACTTAATAATATGCTAACTGCCAATTTTCCAAGAGATGCTTTAATAATTTATTTACTTCTGAATGATCCTTAAATTGAGCTCTTCCCACCTAAACAATCTGGCCTACATAATAAAACAAAATATTTCAACTTTAGCAGGAGGCAATTATTATCTGGAAGGGAAAACAATCCACAAGATCACCTCTGAATCTTCCAATTGCTCCGAAGCCTCTTCTGCATGGATTTATAGCCATTGTTGGTGGTAAATATTTCCTTTTTGTATGCGTTGAAAAGAATGGTGCTCCGAAGCTCTTTCTCCATGGTTACCTATGGAAAAAAAAGAAGAGATCAGAAAAAGAAAAGCAATAACCAACAGTCCAAAAGAAAGACCCCAAAAGGAACAAAAGAATCTACTTCTTCTAATTTAATGCAACTACCTATGAAATCTCTGCAGTTCTTCAAGGTGGAGAGTGAAACGCAGAGCTGCAGAAACCTATGGCCAACCCTGGTGACCTAGTGTCTCTTGCCTTGGCCTTCCCACCAGCCTATCCCATGGCCCTGCCCTGCCCTCACCTTATGCCTGTGGGAGACCATGATTCCTTACTGCTCACTACCGTTAACACAAGGTATAGTCTTATTTTTTCCTTTCCTTTTTCATTTTTACATTAAGTTTATTGGGGTGACATTGGTCAATATGGAGGTATAGTCTTCTAGATTCTTTTTATACATTCATTAACTTGTAGTTTTATTTATAAAGTAGCATTTTATTATATGAACCATTTTACAACAATTTTTTCACTTAACTTCATATTTTTTTCACATCTTTCCATGTTGGTACTTAGGGATCTTTAAAAAAAAACAAAAAAAAACACAAAAACTGCTGCACAGTATTCCATTTTATAGATATACCATAATTAAACTAGTTATATACAAATTGAAATTTTTCCCCAAAAAATTTTGCTAGTAAAACAATATTACCAATAGCAATCAGGAGGCAGCCCTCAAAAAATCAATAAAAACATTAAAAATATATCAATCATCTTTGAACATGATGTTTTTGTGCACTTCCCATAGTTGTAGAATAAATTCCTACCTGTTGAATGGCTAAGTTACAAAACATTATAACTTTTACTCCCACTAATACTAATACTATTTCTAATCCTTGTTATCTCTCCTAAGAGAGGCATCCCCATTTAGTTTTAATTAGCACTTTAAAATGAGTGAGATGGCCATCTTTTACTTTTATACTGGCCACTTGTATTTCTTCTGATTTTCTTGTTCATGTACTTTCCTTATTTTCCTGTTGGGTTTAATATTTTTCTAACTGATCATTAAACAAATACTTTCACAAAATTGTCTTTAGACGTAGCTTATAGAAAGGAGCTTTTTTGTTTGTTTGTTTGATTTGGTGAAATTTTGCAGGCCATACAGAAGGTTTTAAATTTTTGAGTCAAAAGTATTCATCTTTTCCTTATTCTGAATTGCATCACCTAATTAGAAGAATTTTGCTGTGCTAAGATTATGAATACGCCCAACAATGCTTTCTTCCTATACTTGCATGTCTTTTTAAAAAATGTAAATGCTAAGACCCTGGCTGGGTAGCTCAGTCGCAGTGGTCGGCAAACTGCAGCTCTGTTGACTAATGAGTTTGCTGACCACTGGGTTAGCGCATCTTACCAATATGCCAAAATTGTGGTTAGATCTCCAGTCAGGGCAATACAAGCAACCAGTGAATGCATAAATAGGTGAAACAACAAATCAATCTCTCTCCCTCCTCTCTCTCTAAAATCAATCAATAAAACAATAATGGCCCATTTGGAATTTATTTCTATGAAAATAAATTTTGTTACTTTTTCCTAGAACAAAATTTCCTAGAAAGCTGCCCGACACCTATCAAACTTCTCAATGCTTTTGATTTTTTTCCCCCCAATGCTGACTTTAAAAAAAAAAAAAAAGTATTTTTTATTGATTTTAGAGAGGAAGGAAGGAGGGAGATAGAAACATCCATGATGAGAGAGAATCATTGATCGCTGCCTCCAGCAGGCCCCCTACTGGGGATCGAGCCCTTGACTGGAATCGAACCTGGGATCTTTCAGTCCACAGACTGATGCTTTATCCACTGAGCTAAACCGGCTCAGGCTCAAAGCTGACTTAAAACATCACCTTGACTATATAATAAGTGACTACAAATATCTGGATCTTATTCTGAATTTTATACATTTACCCGCTTGTAGTTCCTGCTCGGTTCCACACTATTTTAATTACTATAGCTTTATAATATGTTATAATTTCTGGTGTACTGGAGAGCTTATCCCCCTTATTACTTTTTTTTAATTTTTGGTTTTACACACACACACACACCTCATTACTCTTAATTTCTAGATTTTCCTGGCTAGTCTCACATACTTTCGCAGTTTTTTAAAATCATTTTGTCAGTTTTTTTTAAAATGCCCCCATGAACCCACCACAGCTATCTTTCCATGTTTCACCCCAGCCCTGTGCGTGCTTGTCTTCTGTGTGCATACACAACACCGCATTCTGCTTTCTCCGGTTCCCTCAGGAAATGTCTCCAGATTAGGTGAATGGCTGCACGGCTGTGTCATCACGAACCGAACCACTGCCCTCAGGGGCATCTTTTCAGTCCCGCGCCATCCTAGATCCCGCTGGCACTGACTGTCTCTCCTCCGGCCATGGTCTGTGCCGCAGGGCAGGTTCCTGAGCGCGGGGCTCCTCGGAAAGGGGATGGGCCCTTCCCCTCCCTGCGGGACTCTGCAAACCCGCGTGCGGGAGGCGATGGCCACTCCAGCCCAGGCCCGGGTCGGGATGCAGGCCTCCATCGGCGCCCAGTTTACCTGACCCCAGGGGACCTCTGTTCTCCACAAGCCTGGCCCCGGGGCCCCGGGGCCCCGGGACAGTCCGGGAAGCCTCGCCGGCGCCAGGCCGCCCAGCGCCGCGCGGGCCCGCCCCAGCGGGCGCTCCGCTCACCTGAGGCCCGGTGACCACCATCTTCACCTGACGCCGCCCCGCATCCCGCGCCAGGTAACCGCGGCCTCCTAGCAACGACGCAGGCCCGGCGCCGCTGGGAGGGCGTGGCCCGGGCGAGGGCGTGCCTCGGCGGTCACGTGACGACGGCGGACCGGAAGCCGCCGTCGGTGGGAGGGGGCGGGACTTCCGTGGGGCTGTGCCATTACCTTGCATGGGCTTAAATCCAGACAGGACGCGGGCTGATTGTAGGCCAAAGATAAACCGATTTCATTATGTCTTTCGTATCCAGTCTGTATTAAAGATCGGTAAAAATGGCAGGTCCCTCCCAAAGGCCTGGACTTCGCTCGACCCCGAGAATGAAGAATAGTAAAGACTTCCGGTCCGGGGCGGTCCCCAGAGCGCAGGCGCCGCGGGGCAGGGGGCGGGGCCTAGCGGCTGAGCCCTGGAGAGGGCGTCGGGGCGCCAGGAGCCCCGGGCCTGGGGCTGGCAGCTTGGGTGCGCGTGGGTGTTGGCTCCCCGGGGGGTCAGGGACTTCCCGAAGGAGGGTTCAGTGCTGAGACGGGTGACATGAGCTAGTTCTCTCTCTCTGATTTGTCCTGCTGCACTGAGCACCACAGGTCCAGGCCCGGTACATGGCCATGACCCCGCCGTCTCAGCGTCTGCCAGCGAGGAGTCAGTTCTGGTCAAATCTTACCAAAAATAAACATACAAACTGTCTTAAAGGTGCTTCAAGGGGCTGGAGCTGGGTCGTGAGGCGCCCCCGATGAACAGTGATACGAAAGAAGAGTGATATCCATTGGCAGTGGTCGGCAAACTGCGGCTCTTTGGCCCCTGGAGCAGTGTTTCTCAAACTTTTGACAGATGTGCACCCCTTCTATAATTTTCGTAAGGCTGAGTACCCCTCGTACTCACGAGAACGTAGAATTAGGTGCAGCTAAGCACGATGCAGTGCATATCCCCACCAAACTCCGGTGCAACGCGTACCCCCACCAGACTCTTCCCGCACCCCTGGGGGTACGCGTACCACACTTTGGGAAACACTGCCCTGGAGTGTGGCAGAAGTGGCGTTAGAAGAAGTTTACGTTTAAAAAATGTGGCTCCCAGAAGAAATTTCAATCATTATACTGTTGATATTTGGCTCTGTGGACTAAAGAGTTTGCCGACCACCACATTACGGCAATGGCTGGGAAGAGCGTTCCTGGCAGGAGCTGCTGATGCGGAAGAGCCCTCACCCTGAGAAAGGGAAAGCAGGTGCCAGGACACAGGGCCTCCCTGCTCCCCAGAGGAGCGCTCTGGACCTGTGGACCTTGGTGCAGTGCCACCAGCTCGCTGACTCAACCCAATGAGAGCAGGCTTCGGACAGTTTCTATTTGAGTTTGTGTTTGTTAGAATCTCCAACCTAAACAGAGTGGTAGAGAGTGTAGGGATCTTAAAACTCTTGCTGCCTTTTCACAACTACTGTCATTGCAAAGTTAAAAAGTGGAGGAGGGTGATTCGGAATTCTCTTCCTGGGGATGCTGTATTTCGGAGCAACCTTGGGTGAATACAGTCCTCAGTGAGGGGTACAAATGGAAGCAATGTGTTTCCTCCGTAGAGAGAGTAGGCCGTGCCACTTGAGTGTTGGTATCCTTCTGCTTGATGTAGAGTCAGTGTTTGCTGGAACAAAAGAGTTCTGTCCAGAGCACTTGTCCCCCTGTTGAAAGTTGTGGAAGGAGCAATGGTCTTAGAATCAGCTGCCACCAAACTTAATTCCTGGCTGTGCCTTGTTACCCCCTGGGTGACCCTGGGCAAGTTACTTAATCTCTCTGAGCAAATGTTTCTTATTTATAAAGGGAAGTTTAATTTCTAAGGGCTGGCTTACTGTGAGGATTGTAGATAACGCATGTAACACTCAGAATGTGCTCATTAAACATAGGCATAGCATGATCAATATTGTTTTTCATTTTTATTTTCCATTCTGAAATTTTTATGATCTTATAGTCTTAGAACAGAAAGTCATTATGGGTTTCCTAATCCATAGCAGATTGTGTACTTTTGACAGTACTAGCACATTCCAGACAATTATAATCTTGAATAATGCTTTGGGGAGTTGGGGGAATTTGGGCCCCTCCCTCATGTTCCACGTTTGTCAGTTAACAGACATTATAAAGATAGAAATCGAATCAGAGTGTTTCAGAATTCTCAGTGCAGGCCAAAGGGTGACAAGAGCTCTTGCTGACTCAGCTTTGGTCTCCAGTGTCAGTGTCATTGGTGTGTTTTCCAGGTTCTTCTGCTTCATCCCCCATAGTTCCTGGGGCAGGGGACTGCCCTGGAAAACATGGAAGGGAGAGAGTGGAACCGAAGAGGAAAAGGCAATAAAAATCATGGCACACACTGATGTTCCCCGAAAGCCAAGAAAGCTAATAATACCACCCAGAAGGAGTGATGGATGAACCACAGGGCTGAGAAAAGGAAAACCCTTTCCACTGGCATAAAGCAGCATGATCCATTCCACAAGTGCAAGGCGTTCTGAGTTGATGAGGTTATGTGCTCAGGGTCTGTCCAGAATTACCTTGAGAAATGACTAATCTTGACCACATGGAGCTCCATAAGTGGCCGGGAAGCTCTGGTCACCAAGCCTGCGCTAGTCCCCGGCCCTGTCCAAGGCCTGGGCTCCCCATGGCCTTAGGCCTACCAGACAGGGGCAGGCGAGGTGGAGCACAGACTGAACTTGGCAGCCACGCTCAGACCATGAGCCTCCAGTTCAGTGTCTCCTCTTCACCCCATTTCCCACCACCTAGTGTTTTCTGATTAACTCCAAATTTGGTTTCCACTAGAGGTCTTGATAGCCATCCTGTTGGGCCTAACAGTGAGAGGCAGACTTGCACAAAGGATACATGTGAGAGCCCTTGAGTCAGCTTATGTGGCTCCAGGTCCCAGCTCAGACCCTACTAACTATGTGACAAGGTAGGGAAGAACTCTGACCCTGTTTCTTCCTTGGTAAAAGGGGACAGTAGCAGTTCCTACCTTGAGATTGTTTGGATAAAAGCTGATAATAGACTTGAAAGAGTCTATCACAGAAACTAGTTCAGCATAGGCTGCTGTTCTAAAGCTGATTGGGGCCAATTAAGCAAAAAAAAAAAAAAAAAAAAGAGGGTGTTAAGAGGGTCAGAAGCTCCTGAGATTATTCGAAAGCTGTAGGTCAAGACTCAAGGCTTCCCAGGAATGATGGGAATGATATCTCGGAATGATATGAAGAGATTGCAGCTGTTGCCACTGAGTCCCAACTGCTACAATTTACACGTTACCACTTCCACACCAGACACTCAGTTTTGTGGGTGCTGTCACCACAGCTACCACATGAAAGAGGGCTCCGGTCCCTTCCTTGCAAAATCTGGCACAGGTATCCTGGGCCACACGCCTGGCCCGCGCGGCAAGGGAGGCTGCAAAAGTCACTATTTAGAACACATGTGTCAAACACAAGGCCCGCGGGCCAAATCCGTCCCGCCAGGCCTTGCAATGTGGCCCGCACCGGGCTGTCATCACTGCACTCTGCTGCGTTTCCATCACAATGACAGTTTACGACTGTTCAGTAAACCATTCGGCCCGCGATTTAGGCTGGATTTTAGATTTTGGCCCCTTCTCTGATTGAGTTCGACACCCCTAATTTAGAATCTCAGCTACTGTAAATGGAGGTTATGGCCCCTCATCCAGACTCATAAAGTAGGAGATTCCCTGAATACAGGAAGGGGTTCGGATGCCAAGCGGACAAACCTAATAACAAGTGTCTAATACCACCCACAGCAAAGAGAGACCATCAACACAGGAAGATGAGAGGATGTTGGGTGACACCCTAAAGCAGTGGTTCTCAGCCCTCCTGATGCCGCGGCCCTTTAATACAGCTCCTCATGTGGTGGTGACCCCCAACCACAACATTATTTTTATTGCTACTTCACAACTGTGATTTTGCTACTGTGATGAATCGTAATGTGAATATCTTTGTTTTCTGATGGATTTAGGCTCTACAGCAGCGGTTCTCAGGTGGAGAACCGCTAGCAAGGTCTCCTAAGACCATCGGAAAACACAGCTTTGGTCTCCAGTGTCAGTGTCATTGGTGTGTTTTCCATGGTCTTCCGCTTCATCACCCATAGTTCCAGGGAGAATGCCCTGGAAACATGGAAGGCAGAGAGTGGAACCGAAGAGGAAAAGGCAATAAAAGCACAGCACACTGCAGCACTATAAGCCATTGGCACTTCGAGGCTCTGTTCCTAGCAGCTGAAGGTAATTCCTTACAGGTACCAGCTGTCTTCAGCGGTTTCACAGGTACTTGTCTCCTAGCAATCCAGGACGGCTTCATCCTCCGGCACATAGGAAAACCCCTGGAATGCACTTGAGGCCCCCAAGCTGCTGGCCACAGTGTCGGGAGTGCAGCCAATGGACTTTGACACGGCTTCCTGGGTGAACTCTGGGTCAAAGTTTTTCAAGTCATCAGGTCCTGCCTGTGGATAAATGCCAGCGATGAGAAGGAACCCACAAACCCTGAAAGGGACGTTAGACCTTTCCTCTGAGTGCCTTCTGGATACCCCTACTTAACTGTCACCCGTGCATTTTTACATTAGTTATTTTTTCTATTTTTAAAATATGTTTTTATTGATTTCAGAGAGAGGGAGAGAGAAACATCAGCTAGGCTGCCTCCTGCATATTCCTATTGAGGATCGAGCCCGTAACCCAGGAATGTGCCCTGATGGTATCAAACCGTGATCTTCTGGTTCATGTGTCAATGCTCAACCAACTGTGAAACACTGCCTGTGCTACATTATTTTATTTTATTCCATGAGGTCCAGCAACCACTTATCAATTCCTCTAACCCCCTAGCCCTCTCCCTGCCTGCTACACACAATAACCCCAAGACCAGTCTAGTCAACATGTAGTTACTGAATGCCCTGGGAATACAGGAGAACAAAATAGAGTGGGCCCCTGCTTTCACAGAGCCTATATGATACAGAGGGTAGGAGGATGAATAATAAACATCTACACAAACAGATAATTTTGGGTGTTGATAGATCTTATAAAAAGTATAACTTAGGTTAATATAGTAGAGAGTGCCTGGGCTGCTTTAGCTGTTTTGTGGGAAGACCTGGGAGGGACATTGTAAAAATGGTCACCAATTCTCCAACCCCAACCAGAGGTGGAGTCTCTTGCCCATCCCTTTAATAAGAGATAGCCATGTGACTTGCTTAGGCCAATGAGATGTTACCAAATGGGAGGCGATCAGAGGCTTGAAAAATCACACACTGGGAGTTCTCTCTTGCTGCTTTTGGAGCCCTAAAGGCCATGTGATCAAGCCCAGGCCATCGTGCTGCAGTCTGAGAGGCCTCATGAAAGAGAACCCAGTTAACCCAGTTAACCCAGTTGCCACAGCTGCCATCCAACTGCCAGGCCTGTGAGTGAGGCAAGCCTAGATCATCAACTGCCAGCTGACCTGCTAGCTGACTGCTAACGTGAGAGCCCAGTAGAGTCAGCTAACCTGGCCCAGCCAAAGAAACTACCCAATCAGCTCATAGAATCATAATGAAATTTAAAAATTGTTTTAAGCCACATAGTGTGTAGCTTGTTGCGCAGCAAGAGCTAACCAATACAGCCTCTCTGTGGAGAAGACTGAGCCACCTGGGTTTATGAAGTAAGCAGGTGAGCAAGTGGAAAGGTCTGTAGATCCACTCTAGCGTGCAAGCCTTAGCCTGTATAACCAGAGTCCGTGGCCCCAGCTTCTCAAAAAGGCCACAGGACACAGTGGTATTAGCCCAGGACTTCGCACTCCAAGACCAGAATGTGAAGCCTGGACCTTTTATGATGTGTGGCCCTAGACAAGGCAGGTATTTTCTGTTTTCTTGTTTGTTTGTTTAATGAATAAGGACATTGAAACTTATTTAAGCCCTGGCCCGCATGGTTCAGTGTTTAGAGCACATGTGTCAAACACAAGGCCTGCGGGCCAAATCCGTCCCGCCAGGCCTTGCAATGTGGCCCGCACCGCGCTGTCATCACTGCACTCCGCTGCGTTTCCATCACAATGTCAGTTTATGACTGTTCAGTAAACCATTCGGCCCGCGATTTAGGCTGGATTTTAGATTTTGGCCCCTTCTCTGATTGAGTTCGACACCCCTACTCTAGAGCATTGGCCACGCACCAAAGGGTCATGGGTCCAATTCCCAGTCAAGGGCACATACCTCTGTGGAAGGTTCATTCCCTGGTCTCGGTCAGGGCATGTACAGGAGGCAACCAATCCATGTGTCTCTCTCACATTGATATTTCTCTGTCTCTCTATCTCCCCTTACCCTCTCCTACTCTCTCTGAAAATACCAATTGAGAAAATATCCTCAGGTGAGGATTAATTAAAAAACAAAAACTTATTCAAAGTCTCACAAGTGATAGGTGACAGAGCCAGGAACCCACCCCCACTGTGTCTCACTCTAAAGTTCACGCATTGTGTTGTATTACCTCCCTGCCTAGTACTTTGCATATTATTCTCTCTCCAGGGTGTACTTCAATATTATCCTCAAAATCTTTTTAAATATCCCCAGATAAAGAAACTTTTCAGGTGCATGGACCGAGCATACCCTATATACAACTGATGTCAAGAATCTGGCACTCGCCGAAACCAGTTTGACTCAATGGATAGAGTGTCGGCCTGCAGACTGAAAAGTCCCAGGTTTGATTCCGGTCAAGGGATGTACCTTGGTTGCGGGCATATCCCCAGTGAGGGGTGTGCAAGAGGCAGCTGATGGATGTGTCTCTCTCATCGATGTTTCTGACTCTCTGTCCCTCTTTCTTTCTGTAAAAAATCAATAAAATTTTTATTTAAAAATCTGGCACTCAAAGACACATTCTCAAACAGGTAAATCACCAAAGGAAAGATGTGAATAATAACACTGGCAGTGTTGAGTTGTGCCGACTGATCAGATGAAGAGGATTTGATGTTGTTTGACTTGACCCTTAGAGGTGGCCCAGAGAACTCCAGTGTCCACCTCAAACGGGGTTCCTTTTGGCATACTAGCATGCTAATTAACATTTTAAAAGTAACCACCTTCACTGTAAATCAAAGAAATAGAAGTTAAAGCATTGCTAGATGCCATTTTATACTTAATATATTCGCAAAGTTAAAAGCAACCTCACGTGCTGCAGAGAGTACGATGAGAATTCTCCCACAGTCTCTACTGGTTAGAAATAGATTGCCCTCCCTAACACACAGCGAGGGCAGTATGAATGGAGAACCTAGAAACATTCACAGTCTTTGACCTGGTCACTCCCCATCTGGAATCCATCACAAGGAAATAATCAGAGTTCTGGACAACGATCAACACTTAAAGATGTTCATCAGTACATTGTGATAAATAAAAATTAGAACCTAAAGTTCACCGTTAGGAGCCTGGTTGAATAAATATCACCAGCATGGGGTTGAAATAGTATGAGCCATTTAAAATGATCCTTATAAAGTCTTATATGACTTGTGGAAATAATGGCATAGTTTTTAGCAAAGAAAAAGGGGTATGGAGGAGAAATATATGTATATATAAAATATGACCTATGTAAACCACACACACACACACAGAGAGAGAGAGAGAGAGAGGGAAAGAGAGAGAGAGAAAGAGAGAGATGACTGGAAGGAAATATGCCAGCTATTCTCTTGGATAGTGAGAGAAAAAGCTTTTTCTTCCTGCTGCTTTAAAATTCTCTGTTTTGCATACTTTCTACAATGACTACATGCCATTTTACTTATTAGGGAAAAAGCAAACCATGGGGAGAAAATGTCTTTACAGGGTGGGCTACATGACACAGAGCACTTTAGAAACTGCACAGGCCTGTGCCATGAGAGTCACTGGTGATGTAAATAAAGGCGCAGAAGCAGGGCTCAGCACACAGAGCTGAACTGGCAGTCAGGACTTTTGGGTTCTAGGCCAGCTTCTGCCTCTCACTCACTCCTTGGACAAATCACGGAGCCTACGGGCCCTTGGTTCTTCCACCCGTAGAGAGTTGGCCCAGATCCCTTCCAAACTGCCCCCGGCCCTGGCAAGCTAGCGTCTGGAGCGCGGTGACCTCTTACCACGTTTGGAATGAAGGGCGGGGTCAGCCTCTTGTGGTACAAGTCATCCCAGTTTATGGGGCTGAAGAATACGTGGTTCTTGATCTCCGTCTGCGGAAAGAGGGGGCCGATCAGAAGCAGCCCTCTCCATGGGTTCTCCCCGCCCCGCCCCACATGGCCCTGCGCTCCAACTCCATTGGCAGCTGGCTGTCAAGCCCTAAAACCATTGCTGAGAAAGTAACTTGTACCTCTGACTGGTTTCCTGGGACAATAGAGCCAGCATTCTGCAGCTAGACACCCCCTTTCTGGGTCACCAGGAACCCAACCCCTTTCCCCCATGACATCTGTTTCTTCCACATCTATTAGCGGAACGCCTACTCTGTGCCACCACCAGTAGGCTCTGAAGGCATGTCATTGAACAAGTCAGCAGAACCTGCCCTCAGGGACTCTTGGGGACCCCACCCCACTCTGCCTTCATGTGTTTTGACTCTTTCAGAAGGCAAACCAGAAAAATAGACAGGTGAATTCACTGTGAAAGGCTCAGAAAGGAAAGCCCCAAGAAAAGCTGCAGGTTCCCAGCGACCCAGAATTTAGGACTCAGCCTTGGGCATGCTTCACCACTTCTTTCCTCCAACCCAATGTCAGTACCAACTGTCTCCTGTCCCAGCAGGACCCGCTCCCTAGCTGTGTTTCTCAAAGAAGGAGTCTCCAGCCACTGCATCAGAATAGTACCTCTGGGCTTGTTAAAAAGCCAGATCCATCATATCCAAGATGCCCATAAAACTGGTAGCACTGGTTGTCTCTAAAGTAAGGAACTGGATAGCTGGAGGGACTTTTTTTCCAAATATTCTTCGAATTTTGATCTATGTGAATGTAGGGTTTTTTTTAGTTTTTTTTTAATCATACAAATTTTTTTTAAGATGCAAATTTCCACCTGGAAGGAGTGGACCAATCTTCATGAAAGTCATATTCTTTAAGCTGTCCAGGGGTAGGTGGGCAAACGCCCTGAATGTTGTTCCACTTCACAGTATCTGACATGTAGGGCCATCTGTAAAAACACTTAAAAAGCACTTACTGTGTGCTAAGCATTAGCCTAAGTGCTCTGCATACCTTAATCCATTTGACTTTTGTAGCAGCTTAAGCTAGGTGCTATTGCTACAGATGGGGAAACTGAGGCTCACAGAAGTTGAGTGTAAGTGGTGGAGGAGGGATCTGAACCCAGGCAGCCTGTCTCCTAGGCCATGCATCTCAACCACAATGCTGGAAGAGAAAACCAAGTTCTAGGGAGGAGCGTAGTGTGGTCTTCCTTGTATAAGCCCAAATGGTCTTTGGTTGCATAGAGAATGTTAGGTTATTTTTTGTAAATGCCGCTTTAGTAAAAAACATAATAAACTGGTTCAGGGAATGGACTGCGACTTATTGATCTCTACATCCTGAGTGCCTCGCCTGGGCAGTGGCAAGGAGGAAGTGCTCAGATACCCGTGGAAAGCCAGTCCAGTCCACTCTGCACAGAAGCCAGAGGAATTTATTAAAACTCAAACTGGGTCCTACCACACCCCTGCTCAAAACACCTAAGGCGCATACCATACCACTCACGCTCCTCCTCGTTCCCACTACAGGACTTTTGCACATGCTGCTCTGTGTCTGGGACGCCTCCTCCCGGCTCTGCAAGAGTGGTTCCTTCTCTACCTTCAAGTCTCAGCTTCATTGTCCTCTCCTCAGAGAGGCCCTCCCTGACCGTAGCAGTGTGAATTCACCCCCTCTCATTATTTTCTATCTTAGCTCTTTGCTCATTTATTTCCTGGCTAGAGCCTTGATGCACGAAGATTCATGCAAGACTGGGCCTTCCTTCCCCTGGCTGCTGGCACCGCCTTTGCTCTAGCTGGAGCCGCCTTTCCACCTTCCCACACTGCCCAGAGGCCCTGAGTGGCTGGGGCAGTGTGGAACGCACCCAGCCACTCATCGCCTGCCTATGCAAATTAACCATTCCTATTTGTTGGGTTAACTTGCATACTAACTCCTGATTGGCTGGTGGATGTCACGAAGGTAAGTCAATTTGCATCTTTCTCTTTTATTGGTGTAGATACTTGTCATACTCTGCAATAGTTGTATCTAATGTTTGTTTGTTGTCTGCCCTCCCCCAAAAAAATTTTAATAAGGGCAGAGACCCAGTCTATTGAATCCCTAGCGTCTAGTTCAATGTCTGGCGCACAGTAGGTGCCCAGTAGATATTGGTTGAATAGAAGTAGACGGGAGGGAGTAATCAAGTGGCAGCAGCTGAGAATTTCCAAATGCACGACTTGGCAGTGCTCGGTTTTACAGACAGCTGGATGCCTGCCCCTGTGCTTCTGAGCTGCCTCTGCGGGAAGGGGCCAGGGCGCCTCCAGCAAGTCACCTACAAAGTCAGCTTTGGAGCCCAGCCGCTGCCTCTGGTCCTTGTGGAGAAGGGCTTGCAGGAGGTCGCAGGCAGCCACCGTCCGGCCCACGGGGATCTGAAGTGGCTGGTGCAGGATGTTCTCATACATCTGGGCTATGTCCCGGCTGTAGAAGGGTGGCTGGAGAGAGGGAGAGAGCTGCAGGATCATCCATGTCCAAGCGGACACAGGTCTCAGAGAGACTTGGAGCAAAGCTGGGTCACCACGCCTTGTACAATGGCTCACGGGGCAGACTGGAGAGGGACAGAGAGACCTCTGGGCATCTAGCCCGGTGGGGAGGGCTTCTGGGAAGAATGAGGAGTCTCTCTTCATGGGTGTAAGACTTGTGGACTACGCCGAAACCAGTTTGGCTCAATAGATAGAGCATTGGCCTGCGGACTGAAAGGTCCCAGGTTCGATTCCGGTCAAGGGCATGTACCTTGGTTGCGGGCACATCCCCAGTAGAAGGTGTGCAAGAGGAGCTGATTGATGATTCTCTCTCATCAATGTTTCTGACTCTCTATCCCTCTCTCTTCCTCTCTGTGAAAAATTAATAAAATATATATTTTTAAAAAAAGACTTGTGGACTTCCTGGAGCATCCCCCACCCACCTCTCTTAACCTGGCTTGTGCACCAACTTTGCACTTTGCAAGGTCAGGCTCTCCCTTCATCGTTTCATCCCAGCCTCACATCCATCCTTAGAGACAGGCAGTCATTGTTCAGGTGAGAAGACAAGGCTCCAAGAGATTAAAGCCTATGGCAGAGCCAGGAAGAGAGCCAGGCCCCAGCCATACCCAGAGCCCGCCCTTCCTGATGCTCCTCCTCCCTGCGCCTCTGCCAGCTCTTCCTTCTCCAGGCCCCACGGAGCCTGCTCCTTCATACCCGCGAAGCTGCCCCAGGGGGAAGCCTGGCCTGGCGCCGCTCTGCGCTGCCTCCATCCAAGCAGGCAGCCTAGGATGGGAGCCGGGCTGGACCCACCACCTACCAGCACTGTGACCTTTCTGGGCCTCAGTTTCCCTCTCCGTTAATGAAATCAAGAACGATTCCATTTCCTGCAGCCACCCTCCCAAGGCTGCTTTGAGGCACAAGAGGAGTCACGTAAGAGATAGGGTATTATAAAGCGCTGAGCTGACGGTATTGAAAAACTACATATAATCCTTGTAATATTCACTTTGGTGCCATTTCTTTTTTATCCCCACCTGAGTATACTTTTTCCATTAATTTGTTTCTTTTTTTAGAGAGAGAATGGAAGGGAGGGAAGGAGGGAGACAGGCAGGGAGGAGAAGAGGGGGAGGGGAAGGGGGAACATCGGTGTGAGAGAGATACATCGATTGGTTGCCTCCTGAGTGGGGATCAAATCTGCCACCCAGGTATGCGTCCTTGACCAGGAATCGAACTGAGGCCCTTCAGTCCGCGGGCCAGTGCTCTAACCATTCAGTCACCCTGGCCAGGGCTGGTGTCATCTTTTTTAGCTTGGAGTGGCCTGTTCAGCTTTTGGAGGAGCCTGAGCAGGTGGCGAACGGAACGGAAGAGACCCACCCCCTCTCTCCCCAGAGCCAGACGTCCCCAGCGGACAGCGACACCCCACTCACCAGGCCATGCAGCATCTCGTAGAGCACCGCGCCCAGACACCACCAGTCCACCGCCCGGTCATAGGGCTCCTTACGAAGCACCTCTGGAGCCAGGTACTGTCGAGGGGAAACACACTTGTCTGAAAGACCCTCGGCCTCAGTCTCCCCATCTGTGAACAAGGCACTTGGAGAAAGGACCGTGGAAGAGATGACATCTCCCACACGAGCCATGCCCCCTGCTGGGCTGTGGGGCTTTGGGAGGCCAGCTCTGTCCAGCAGACACCCCGCCACACACAACACAGACAATGGCTCCTGCTCAGAGCGGTCACCTGTCCATCGGCTACCCTAAAACCGACCGAGGAGGCCCAGCTGAGATCGGAAGCCCGGACTTTCAAGCACAGGGAGAAAAGTGGAGCCGCTCAGGCCCTGCCCCAGGCCAGGCTGGACGAGTTTCCCGGTCCTACAGCCTCAGCCCCACAACCCCACCCAGACATCTGTCCAAGCAACCAGGGACCCTCTGGCCGGAGTGTAAGGCTGCCTAGAGGCCGTGGCTGGGCAGACAGACAGGTGTGAATTACTGCTGAGACACATATAATACATGTTAACCCCCCGGGCTCTTTGTGGCTGAGAGAGGGCAGAAATAAAGGGCAAGCCCTGATCTTAATTGTCAGGCTAGGCCCTCCTGCTGCATATGGACTTCGCCCTGTAGGACAGTGCTGTCCAGTACCACAGCCATGGTCCACATGGGCTATCAAACACTTACAGTGTGGCTGAGATGGCCCATCAGTGTAGAATAAGGATAAAATATCTCAATTTTATATTGATGGTATGTTGAAATGACAATATTTTATATACACTGAGTGGCCAGATTATTATGATCTCTGAACGCATAATAATCTGGCCACTCAGTGTATATCCTATATAATAATCCTACATAATAAAAGGCTAATATGCAAATTGAACCAGGAGTTCAATCAGCAGGCAGGCTGGCCAACTGTCCATGTCCCCTCCCCCTGGCCAGGCATGCACGAATCCATGCACCAGCCTCTAATACACACACACACACACACACACACACACACACACACACACACTGAGTGGCCAGATTATTATGCGTTCAGAGATCATAATAATCTGGCCACTCAGTGTAATATTGGGTTAATTTAAATATATTATTAAAATTAATTCCACTTGTTTGTTTTTTACTTTTTAAACATGGCTGCTGGAAAATTTTATTATTTCAGGAAAACCCAACGGGCTATCATGGCTGCTGGAAAATGTTAATTGCCTACATCGTTTGCATTTCTGTTTCTGGTGGACATCACTGTGGCAGAGTCAGCAGCGGCTGGCGGGTCCCAGCAGCCCCCAGAGCTGATGCCCCCATTATACAGATGAGGAAACCAAGGCTGAGTGCGGGCAGCTCAGGAGGAGTGCTCGGGCAGAAGGAGTGAGCCCGTTAGCTGTAACCTGTCACCTCTCATCAGGAGCTGGAGCCTCAGCCACGCCGCTTGCCTTCTCTCGGAGTTCTAGCTCACCTCGGGGGTGCCACAGAATGTGCACGTGGTCTCCTCCGGCTCCACGCATTCCTTGCAGAGGCCAAAGTCTGTCAGGACCACGTGTCCCTGCAGAGGAGGGGAGTCAGGGACAGGAGAGTGGTCTAAGTTAATGGTATGGCCAGGCCGAACCCCAGTGCCCAATGCCCACCCCCAGGGCAGCGCCTCTGGAGTCTGATGCTCCTGCACAGGCTGCACAGGGGCAAGGAGGGGAGATGGCACTCCCCTGTCTGCCCAGCTCGTCACAGACTCACACCCGTGCCCTGCTACACTGGCGGCTCCAGAATGTCCTGGCGGCAGAAGTCCCTTGGCAGAGGACTGGGGCCCAGCAGCCACACCGTGGGCAGCTGGGCAGGCGGGTGGCTGGCGGAGGTCGTGGAGTGAGTGGGCACTGCGGGACTCTGCCCACATCTCCCCTTTGGGAGCTGTCGTGCCCATCCCCCCACCCGTGCTGGGACACTGCCCTCACCCAAAGTTATGCCCCTCCCTAGGGGCAGTCCCTCCCAATGACTCACTGATGCAGAGGCACCAATGCCCGGCCGACTTGCCTCAGTTGGGAACAGTTCCAAAGAGTATTCCCTCTTGTGTCCTCCTCTGCCCAGTCCTGCCTTTCACCCCCTTACAGGTAGATCTCCTGAGAGTGGTCCCTCATAACCTGCACCCAGTGCTTCCTCTCAGGGTCCATGTCCAGGGAACCCAGCCTAAGACATGGAGGGACTTACACAACCCACAAGCCTCCACCTGGCCCCCCTGCCCTCTACAGACCTCCTGAATGCACGTGTGCACACACATGTACATACATGCATGGTCTGTGTGCATGTATATACAGATGTACACATGTATGGGTATGTGAAAACATATATTTGAATGCATCTCTACCCAAGGCATGCATACCCATACACCTACATGTGGGCGCACAACCTTCACATGCAATCATGCGCATACACACATGTGCACGCACACACACCAACCTGGCAGTCCAAGAGAATGTTCTCTGGTTTCAGGTCCCTGCATGAAATGAGAAAAGCATGCTGTGATGGCTCAGCCACTGAGGGAGGACAGTGGGGACCTGGGGCCCAGGCGGGAGGGCTGTTCACGGAGGCTCACAGACGTGACTGGGGAGTCCGGGAGGATGGGCACTTGATCCGAGAGAGGAGGAGGCTCCCTCCCTCCCCCGCTGGGGGCATCTCCTCAGACAAGAACCCAGCTCGCTGGCATTTCATCAGGACTCGGGGCCCGCCCAGCCCTGAGCACAGGCCGGCTTCACCTGTAGATGATGTTGAGGGAGTGCAGGTAGCCGATGGCGCTGGCCACCTCGGCAGCGTAGAAACGGGCCCGCGGCTCCAGGAACCTGCGCTCCCGCTGCAGGTGGAAGAACAGCTGGAGGAGGAGGACACGGTGAGAGGGTTTACCGGGGTGCAGGGGGGCAGCGGCCCAGGTCACCCCTCTCCGAACAGCAGAGTACTCAGACAACAAAGGGCATGCCACCCCCACCCCACACAGCAGCTGTGGGGGTCCACCGGCTCAGCAGGAGAGATTAATTCACATGGATTGAGCACCTACTGTGTTCCAAGCTCCAAGCCAGGACCTTTCGCATCTCCTATTTAATCTAATGACAGCCTTCAAGGTATCAAATATGATGCTAGTTTCACCTAAGAGGAATCTGGGATGGGTCAGAGCAGTCAGGTGACTGCTTGCAATTGGCAGAGCTGGGATTTGAAACTGGGTGGTTCAAAGATAGGTTTTTCCTCCAACCCAGGTGATAAGACTATCATGGTCAAGTCCCATGCCCTCCCTCAGCCCAGGATAGCTCTGCCCGTGGGCCCATTGCTTTGGTGTGTTTTGCGAGCATGGAAAACTCCATCAGGGGCCTTGGGGATGCAGGACAAAAACTTCCCTCTCAGCACCAGGCCAAAGGCATGCGATGTCATAGAGCTTAGATCTGGGATCGCTGAGGGGCCTCACTAAGAGCCAGAAGGGAACTCAGCTCATGCAGCTGCGCTGCTATGTCAACAGGGGGCCTCAGGTCTCCATTATCACAGCGGCAGGCCATCCCCACCAGTGGCCCCTGTTGTAAAACCTTGACCACTGAGCTCATGACCTTCCCAGGTGAGGCAGGGGAAGTCAATACAGATCCACATTCCAGTCCTGGCTCTGCCTTGAGCAAGGGCTTAGCTCCTGAGCCTCGTTTCCTCCCCTACAAAGCGGGTCTGTTGTGTGGATCCTGTGAGATCATTCCTGAACCTGGTACATAGCAGGTGTGTAGGATGGATGCTCCCGGCTCAGAGCCAGCCCGGGGAGCCCGGCAGCCCGCCCACCTCTCCGCCGTTGACATAGTCCAGCACGAAGTAGAGCTTCTCAGGGGTCTGGAAGGAGTAGCGCAGGCCCACCAGGAAGGGGTGCCGCACGTTCTTCAGCAGCACGTTGCGCTCCGCCATGATGTGGTTCTGCTGCGGGGTCACAGGCAGGGGCCGCGTCACCGCCCACCGCCCGCTGGGGGGCTCCCCGCCCTTCCCCAGACACCCCCGGGGGCTCCTCATTGCCAGTCTCAGCCCCAGTCAGTTCACGTGGGTGTAGCCCCAGTCCCCAGATCGGGGGTGACAAGCAAAGAACAGACAATCACTGCATACAGGAGGCCACATTCACGCCTCTGCTCATGCCGTTTTCCCTGCCCTGGCGCCCTCTTTTCAGACCACAGAACCCCGCCTTCAAGGCCGGCTGCAAGGCCACCTCCCCTCCCCACCCTCATGGTGTCCTTGTGAACGCTCATTCCCTCTCCCTCTGGTTTTACATCCAGCCCTCTATGGGCCTGCGCTCTCCGACTGGGGCTAAAGTGACCAGTGAAGAGACCTGAATCAGCTGAAGTAGGGGTGTCGAACTCCATCAGAGAAGGGGCCAAAATCTGAAATCCAGCCTAAATCGCGGGCCGAATGGTTTACTGAACAGTCATAAACTGTCATTGTGATGGAAACGCAGCGGAGTGCAGTGATGACAGCGCGGTGCGGGCCACATTGCAAGGCCTGGCGGGACGGATTTGGCCCGCGGGCCTTGTGTTTGACACATGTGAGCTAAAGCATCTGGATCTCCAGGATGGCTGTGGCCGGAAGGGCCCTTGGAGAGTAGGAGGTGTGACCCCACTCTGCACAGATGGAGTGCCGGGCACCCAGGCAGGGTGAAGGGCTGTCCACTGTGGGGTCCAAATCTCATCGGAGGGAGGCACAGGGCTGGGACTGGCTCCTCCTGCAGCCTGTGGCTGGCGTGGTTGGCCTGCCTTTCTTAAGAATGATAAGCAGCCAAAACCGGTGTGGCTCAGTGGATGGAAGAAGACTGAAAGGTCTCAGGTTCGAGTCTGGTCAAGGGCATGTACCGTGGTTGTGGGTACATCCCCAGCCAGTGGGGTGTGTGTGTGTGTGTGTGTGTGTGTGTGTGTGTGTGGGAGGCAGCTGATCGATGTTTCTCTAGCATTGATGTTTCTAACTCTCTATCCCTCTGTCTTCCTCTCTGTGAAAAATCAATAAAATATATATATTTTTTAAAAAATGGTAAGCATCCAGGCACCCCTGGCCCCCGACTAAGACCCCCTTCTGCACCAGCTCATGGGCCCTTCACCGGTGGAACCCGCCTGGGGAAGCCGCCGAGCCTGGGAGTCGGGGAATAGGAGAGGAAACGCTTATGCCTGAGCTCTGGTACCTCTTTGTTCTTCAGGATGAACTTTTTCTGCAGCACCTTCACCGCATAGAACCTCCCGTCGGACTTGCGCTTGGCCAGGAGGACCTGAGCGGAAGCAGAAATGCCAGGTCCCGCTGGGGAGCACGCCTCTGGCGGCCCCAGCCCCGGCCCTGCATCCTTGGATCTGCAGGCTGTGAGCGCCCTCTCTGCACATGCAGGCGACAGGCACGGGGTGGAGGAGGCTGGAAAGGGGGAGGCCTGGGTTTCCCACTTCACCACGTTACCCACCTTCCCATAGTTGCCTCTGCCGATGACTCTGAGGAAGTCGAAGTCGGTGGGCCGGGCGCTGGGGGAGAGGGGAGAACTCGGGTCAGTGTTTGCAAGATTGTGAAGCTCCATCCTGAGGTCAGGTCAGACTTCCTTCTCACTCTGAAGGTGGGGAATGCAGGGAGCTCTCCTGCAGCCCAGCCCCCTCCCCACTGAAGAACGACATGTCCTCCCAGCCCAGAGGGGCCTGTAAGACTGGCCCTGACCTGGGGACCTCACGATCAGGCAAACAGCAGGTAAGGTGGGGAGAAACCCGACACAGCTGCACAGAGGCGCGGCAGCCGGCTCAGAGCCTGAGAAAGGCTGAAGGGCAGGGAGCTGCTAACAATGCAGACTTCGGGGCACCTTCCAGGCCCAGGGCTCAGCATGGGCGGAGGCTGGGCCCTCGTGGGAGGTAAACTCAGGTCACAGAGGGGCTTGAAGGTAGACCAGAGACCTTGGATTTTACTCCCAGGCCTGAGGGGAGCCAGGGAGGAGAGTTGCCTTGGAGACCAGAACTCACTTTGGGTTGGCTGAAGGCCCCAGGTTGATGTTCCCATTGGCCCGTGAAGGCTGAAAACATTTACAGAAAGAAGAGATTAATGTCAACGGGTTCCTACTCCGTGGCTCCCTTTTCTCTGGGCCCGGGCCCTGATCCATCTACTAGCTTACCTGCTTCCTTCCTTCCTTCTTTCTACCCTCCTCCCCACCCCTGGGCTTCCCCTCCACCATCCCACCTGCTTCTCCCAACCCCCGTGGAGGCTGCTGTCATGCCAGGGGTGCGGGTGAGGAAACGGGCCCAGAGAGTGCTGACCAAGGACTTACAGGCTGTTCCTCGGGGCCCATCCCATGACTGTCCCACCCCACTTACTTCTTGAAGCCTTTGCCCAAGTCTCTTCTCTGTTTATCCTGCAAATGGCTCGCTTCTGTGAGCTCAGAGTGACCCCTGTCGACCCGCCAGTCCTGTCTGGGATGACCCACCTTCCTGATGGGTGCTGGCATATTATAATTTCCTGGGCCGTGTAAGGAAGTGAGCCCCCTGCTGGTGGGCAGCGGCATCAAGACCCACTCACCTGTGGACTGGAAGTCCCCGCCGGGCTGGCACTAGAGTCCATTCTGTAACAGTGACAGGGTGGGCGCTGGGGGCACAAGGAGGAGCTGGCCTGAGAGAGCCGGTTGGGGAGTCAGCTTCACCTAGAGCTTCAAGCACCGCTGCCCTCACCATCCCTCCCTCCCCAGCCCCGTCCACGCGCCGGCCATAGCCTGAGCTCTCCTACCCCAGAGGCCAGCTGCCCCTGCCTGGGACGGGAGAGGGTACCCACCGGACCCAGCCCCGCCAGTCAGACATCCTGGGAGGGAAGGAAGGAGCATGGTCAGGGCGGCTCCTCCCAGGCTGAGCCTTTTTCAAGGACAGCCAAGGGAGCAAGGTCCCTGTGCGCCAGGGCGGCTCCAGAAGTCCAGGGTGGCTAGGCCTGGAAGGACTCTGGCAGAGCATAAAAGTGTGCACCCTCTCCCCCATCTCACAGGCGGGAAGGAGGGCTAGATCACACAGCTTGTGCGGGGCAGGCTGGGTCCCCAGGCTCTCAGACAAGCATGCTGTAACCCTGAATTCCTGTAGAGAGTCCCCCCACGGGCTCTGTGCTACCTCCCGCCACAAGGACTTCTGCCTGATGCCCCTGCAAGGGCGCCGCCCTGGGGGCCTGGGATGGCGCCGTGGAGAGGCTCAGACTGGCCGGGGTCTAGCGGAGATTAAACACACCAGCTGGCGTAGGCCCGGGGAGAGGAGGGAGCACCGTGTCCTCCCTGCCCCTCCCTGCAGGCCGGAGGAGGCGAGCATAGCTCGGCCCTGACTCAGGATGTCCAGGGCCCCACAGCCCCACCCCTGCTTGGGAGGTCAAGGCCAAGAGCTGATATCTCATCTGACACCCCAGCTGCTTGTGGGGACGGCTGGGTACTGTGCATCCAAGACCACAGCCTTGGTTCTCTGTGGGGCCGGGCTGCAGCCTGGCCTCTCTGGGCGGACACTGCCCATCCTTCAAGGGGGCCCCCTCCCGTGGCCTTCTGGGGAGCTGAGAAAGTGGCCACAGGGGAAGGGAGGGAGTCCCCCAGCTCTGTGGAGCCCTGAGACAGCGAGCTGCAGGTGACCCATAGGGAGCGCAGCCTGTGCCCCAGGCCCGTGCTCCTGCCATGCTGCCGCCCCCTCGCCTGCGCTGACTCTGACGGCCCCTCTGCCGGGCCCGGCCTCCCCGGCCCCACATACCTGCACCGGCCTGAGAAGCGGCCTTTGAGAGAACCCGCAATCGGAGCCGGAGGACGGGCAACGGACAGGACAGCCTCTCTCTGTTCTCCCAACAAGGGCTGAAGTGTCTGTGCCTGGCGCCGGCCTGGCCCCAGCTCGGAACTCCCGGCAGCATCAGCACCGAGGGGGCCGTTGATGTCATGCAGGACCCAGCAGAGCTAAGGACGGGATGGGAAACCTTGGTTCCCTCGGGGACAGCGGCTCCCCCGGGGGTGACCAGCAGCTGCAGGGGAGCCCGGGAGACTCCGGGCTTGTTAGGACATGTGGGTGTGGGTCAGCATGTCTGTGTGTCTGTGTGTGTGTGTGTGTACGTGCAGGTGTTTCGTGTAAAGATGTGCTTCAGCCTGTGTGTCCATCTGGTGTGTCTGTGTGTCCCTGTATGGCAAAGTATTGTGTCAGTGTGTGAGTCCGTGTAGATGGCTGCCTGTGCTCTGTAGTGAGTGTGTGGCATGGGGACCTTGTTTGTGTGATTTTTTTTCTGTGTGTCTATGCAACTCTGTTATGTTCTCAGTGTGCATATGTGTGCACCTCAGAGAGCCTCTGTGCAGTGTGTCAGTGTGTATCTATCTATGTGTTAATATGTTGGTGTGTATGCATTGGGTGCCTACATGTGTGAGTCCGCAGATGAGTATAGGTGTCTATGGATACATGTGCAGGACAGTGTGACCACATGTGTGTATGTAGGTTATTGTGTGTCTGCATTCGCATTGGTGCAGTTGGTAAATCCCGTGTGTGTGTGTGTGTGTGTGTGTGTGTGTGTGTGTATAGGTGCCTGTCTGTAAGACATACTCCCGCGGTATACCCAGGCCTGATGTAAACCATCTGGGACTGAAGATGAGGTCCCAGGACCTCCACCATGGCAGCTGAGAGCCCTTCGCCCCCCCAACCCCCAAGAACCTGAGAGGAGCCTGGAGCCCAGGCGGGCCTTGGTCTTTGAATGCCAAGTCCTTGGCCACTGAAGCCCTTCCCTGCTGGCCCCTCCAGGACTCTGGCCTGAATGGCCCACTGCTCTGCGACTATGTGAGAGGCAGGAAACACGGTCCCAGCCAGCACGTGGCTCATGGAGTTCTTGTTCCCTGGCGTGATAATTAGGTACTCCTGGGTCTCTCCTCTCCCCCGGAGCTCAGGAGGGATGTTCTAGGGAACGCAGTTGACATGGGCTGGCACAGACCCTGTTCTGGAACTTTCTGTGTGGCTGCCACATGCCACACTCAGACCTCTGCAACTCACCACAGTGGAGGGATTTATGGGGCTGGAGCCACGGGGGTTGGTCAGGGAGGGACCTGAGCCTGGTGGCCCCAGGAGTTCTCTGCGGGCTCTGAGAGCCTGGCACGGAGGTGCCAGCCAAGGAGACCCGCGTGAACAACGTCAGACAGAGCCTACATCTTCCAGCAAAATAGAAATGTTGAACCAACACACAGATGGGCAGGGTGTCATGTTGACAAAACACAGAGCAGACAAGGACATTGCTTTTCAATGACAAGCAGCACTGCTTAGAACAGGGAAGAGATGGCAGTGATGATAATAACCTAACTGCTCCACCACCAGGCCTTCGGAATATCGCCAGCTGTGAGAGCTCCCTCTGACCTCACATCCCCACCCGGGTGCTGTCCATTGCACTGTTCCCTTTTCAGTTCAACCCCTTTTCAAAATAAATATATTTTTTAAATTTTTTTACAGAGAGGAAGGGAGAGGGATAGAGAGCTAGAAACATCGATGAGAGAGAAACATCGATCAGCTGCCTCCTGCACACTCCCCACTGGGGATGTGCCTGCAACCAAAGTACATGCCCTTGACCAGAATAGAACCTGGGACCTTTCAGTCCGCAGACCGATGCTCCATCCACTGAGCCAAACCGGTCAGGGCTTCAGTTCAACTCCTTAAAAGAATTGTCTGAACTCAGTCTCCATGCCTTTTTCTGTTCTCTCTTGAGCCCATTACAAAGAGGCTTCCACCCCAATACGGCGCTGAAACAGGGGCTTCCGTGTGCCGGGGCCGGGCATGGACCCTCCACCCTCCTCTCGCTCAGCTTCTCAAGAGGACCTGACACACCCACTGCTCCCGCTTGGCTTCAGGGCTGCTGGGCTCCCACCCGCCTCACTGCCTGCTCTTCCTCCATCTCTCCGGCCGGATTCGCCTCCTCTTTTCACCTTAAACACTGGCCTGGCCCAGGGCTCAGCCCACACTTGTTCCGAGTTGAGTTTAAGCACTTTCACAGCTTTGAGCACCAAGTGGACTTGATAATTCCCTAACGTACCTCCCCTGTCCCGCTTCTCTCCTGAATTCTGGACTGAAATAGCTAAATGCTCCTCAACCCTTCACACACACACACACACACACACACACACACACACACACACACACACACACGCTGACCCACACCCACACGGGTGAGGTGTCCAGAGGCACCCCAGACTCAACGATCTGAAACAAGTCCTGACGCACTTTCCTTCCACTCTTCCCTGGCACTGCCACCGACTCACAAGTTCAAGCCGGCAACCTGGAATTCATTCTGAAAAGCTGGCACCTTACCCCCCCCCCATTCCTCCAAGAAACCCCTGAGGATCGAGCCTCCGAGGGCGCCCCCAAACCCAGGGCTGCAACCGCTGCGGGGATCACTGCAATAACTGCCCTGCCGACTCTCTATTTCTTTTCTTTTTTTAAGTTTTTTAATTTTTTTAAATACATTTTTTATTGATTTTTTACAAAGAGGAAAGGAGAGGGATAGAGTGTTAGAAACATCGATGAGAGAGAGACATCCATCAGCTGCCTCTTGCACGCCCCCTACTGGGGATGTGCCCACAACCAAGGGTAATACATGCCCTTGACCGGAATCGAACCTAGGACCTTTCAGATGCTCTATCTACTGAGCCAAGTGGTTTCAGCTATTTTTATTTTTTATTTTTGGTTGTTAATCCTCAGCTGGGGATGTTTTTCCATTGATTTTTAGAGAGGGTGGAAGAGAGAGAGAAAGACAGAGAGAAGCATCAATGTGAGAGAAACACATCCATTAGTTGCCTCCCTGACCAGGGGTCGGGCCAGGGAGGAGCCTTGACCGGAATCGAACCCGGGACCCTTCGGTCTGCCAGCCGACGCTCTATCCACTGAGCCAAACCAGCTAGGGCTGCTTCTCTATTTCTATCTTTACCCAGTACATCCTCCCACCAAAAGCCAGAGTGACTCTTTAAAAATGTAAATCAGATCATATGACTTGGTTGCTCAAAACTCCAGTGACTTCCCATCGCTTGGAGGATCAAAATCCGAAGTCTTCAGGCTGGCCTGTGAGATTCCCGCGCCCCGGCTTCTGCCTCCCCGCTCCCCGTTTCCATGCTCTCCTCTCACGCCACGCCAGCCTCTCCGGCTTTCTGGCTGCTCCTCAGACACACAGCGTGTCCTCTGGCCTCCTGCCCCTCGCACTCCCTCCGCCTGGAACGCTCTTCTGCAGAGCGGCCTCCCGCTGACCCCACCGGGGCCTCTGCTCACAGGTGCCCGCTCAGGCCTCTCTGATTCCCGGTGACCGCCTGTCCTGGTTTGTCTGGGGCTTCCAGGTTTCCCAGGGTGTGGGATTTCAGAGATAAAACCGGTAAGGTCCTGGGCAAACCAGGATTGCTGGTCGCTCTACAAAGCCAGTCCCACCGCTGCCTCTCCCCTTTCCCGCGCTGAGTTTTACTTCGGGACACGCGTCACTCCGACGCCTTCACACGCAGCGCTGTTTGTTTTCTGCCTCCGAGGAGAACATTGGCCCCAGGAGGGCAGACTGCCTTGTCCACTGTGGACCGCAGCATCCAGAACGGGGCCTGGAAGGCCGTCGGTGCTCCCTACATACTTGACTAATGAATCGATAAGTGACAGGACATATGTGAAATGGAATATTACCCAACAGCAAACAAAACTGACACACAAGCCTGTGTAAATGGACGCAGAAACATAGAGGTGCTACAGTGTCAAGCGAAACAAGCAAACCAGATTTCAAAATGGTAGGTGCTCCCAACAAGAAAGACATCGGTGTGAGCCACAGAGAAAAGACTGAGGGCCATGGCCCAAGGGGACAGTGGGCTAGCTTATTTTGTATCCTGGTACCTCTGTGTAAAATCTCCACGTCCTGTGGGGAGTTCGACATGCCCACGGCACACACCCTCTCCCTCCCCCACCACCTGGACGGTGAACCCCACATCTGAGCAGCTCTCTGCTCCTAAGGCTTCGTCATCCCTCTCTGCAGCTTGACTTGACGTTGTTCCCACAAGGCCATGGGTTAGGAACTATCGCTGTCCCTGTTTGAAGGAGGAGGACGCGGAGGCTGGGGAAGGTGAAGGGACTTGATCAGGCCACATAGCTAGTAAGTGATGTCACTGAACCCAGGTCTGATTCCAGGGCCTGGAGTTTTAGGAAGAAGTTAGGGATTTAGAAAAGGAAGGCATGAAGTTAGTGGGAAGGAAGTGAGAATGTGAATTGGTTAGTTCGGAAGGAAGACAATTAGGTAGCTGAGAGGTAGAGAGTGGAGAGGGAAGGAGGCAAAGGAGGGAGGGATGGGGGAAAGAAGTTAAGAAAATTAGAAAGGAAGGAAGCAAGGGAGGGAGGGAGAGGAGAGTTAGGAAGAAAAGGGAATTAGGAAGAAGGGTATTGGGAGGGAAAGGAAGGAACCAGGTAGTTAGGGAGAAAGTTGGCTAGGTAACTAGTTAGTAGGTTTGGCAGACCAGCAGGCTGGCAGGCAGGTGTCCTGCCCACAGCTGAGCCTCTCACCTGAAAACTCTGGGTCCCAGCTCAGGTCCTGGGGAGCAGCCCCGAGCACAGCTCTGCCCTCCCGTCTCTCTGCATGGTCCCCCAATCCTGAGTCGCTGGAACAACCTTCCCAGTCAGGAGTGACCTGTCATCCACTCTCTCACACTGCGAACCAGCTCAAGTTCAACCTCCCAGCGAGGCCAGCTGAGAGCGGGTCACAGGGCCTCGGTTACTAATTAACCACTGGACCTGATTCACCATGCTGGCTGCACCCTCTGGCTCCTCAAGGGCCCTGCCCTGGGGACCCTCTGAACTTTTAGACGCTACTGCACAACGTATGTGACCTTGGGCAAGCGATTCCAGCTCCCGGAGCCTCACACAAATTGGTGATGATGGTGTGTAGCCTGCCTCACGGAGGGTCTCCCTTTCAACACCGTCCCGCCTCTGGTGTCTGAACTCTCCCCTCCCCTCCCCAGTTCAGCGCATATGCTGATTCTCCCACACCGCCTTCCCTGGCTCCATCAGCTGAATCACTTCCCTTTTAGAGCCTGGGGGACTGACCACCCAAAAGGCTTGTTGCACACAACTCTCCCCTCCGCCAGTCCCTGACAGGACCACCAGCCTGTGTGGTCAGCCTGTCATGGACACCTCCGTGTGGTGGGGGTGGGGACAGCTCATGCCCACCTGAGCCAGCCTCAGGCCTGACACCTCTGGCACTCTCTTGTGTTGAGCCAAAGCCTGCTGCCCAGAGCCCTCCTGTGCTGGCGCTGTCCGGGCATCAACGGGGGAGAACCACAGCTGGCTGAGACCCAGGCCCCGCTCTGCCCTTCGGAGGCCTAAGTCCCAGGAAGCAGGACTCGGCTCTCCCCAGCTCCCAGGGAGGGAAGGCTTTCACTGCTTGATTGGAAGGTGCCCAGACGGAGGGTTCTAACCCAGGGCAAGGACAGGGCCTGGCCTGCTGGACAGGTAAGAAAAGCTCCACACGGTGACCCCTCCTCAGCAGGCAACTCGGTCTGAGTGCCACTCTGCTTTCTCCAATTGCGTGTCATTAACATGTCAACAACTTCCCAGTCCTGGTAGCGCTTTAAAAGCTGGCAGCTCTAACAGCGCCCAGAGGAGCCCTGTGTGCCCGGTCCCCGCCTCCACCAGCACACCCATCGGCATGTGACTGGCCTCCGCCCAAAGGGGCAGTGGCTGGCCCAAGTGCACCAAGCAAATCAGGGCAGAGCCCTGGCCTGCCCCTTCTGGAGCTGTCCTGTCCTGCTCCACCACCCCCCCTCCCTGCACTTCCAATGCCAGGTTTTAAAACCCCACGGAATTGTATAGGGTACACATGCTATCTCCCATAAGGTCTAGTATCCAACATTTATAGGGAACTCATACATCTCAACAAAAGGAAGGCAAACAATCCAATCAAAAAATGGACAAAGGACCTAAATAGACACTTTTCAAAAGAGGACATACAGAAAGCCGAGACATGAAAACATGCTCAAAGTCACTAATCATCCGAGAGATGCAAATCAAAATGACAATGTGGTACCATCTCATACCAGTCAGAATGGCTACCATCAACAAATCAACATATAACGAGTGCTGGTGAGGATTCGGAGAAAAAGGAACCCTCGTGCACTGCTGGTGGGAATGCAGACTGCTGCAGCCACTGTGGAGAACAGTATGGAGTTTCCTCAAATAATTAAAAATGGAACTCCCATTTGACCCAGTAATCCCACTTCCAGGAATATATCCCCAGAAATCAGAAACACCAATCAGAAAGGATATATGCACCCTTATGCTCATCACAGCACAATTTACCATAGCTAAGATTTGGAAACAGCCTAAGTGCCCATCAGCAGATGAGAGGATTAAAAAACTGTGGTACATCTACACAGTGGAATACTACGCTGCTGTAGTGCTTTGTCCCATTCCTCACTTTTTTTAGCTGCTTGTTTTGGCATTTACCTGCATGTATCTAAATAACATGATTATTCTGCTATTTCTCCACCTTTTAGTTTTAAAAATTATCAAGTGGCTTCTTCTTTCCAACTATGGAACAAATATTTAGATCTCTTCCATTCAAACCCAACTTCTGCCTTTCCTAAAGTGAATTAATAACTGCATCATTGGATGGTTTGAAATATTGACTACATATACATATACATCTATATATCTCTATATAAAACCCTAATATGCAAATAGACCAAACAACCCAACAACCAGGAGCTATGATGTGTGATCACACATCAGCCACGGCAGGATGGTGGAGCAGGTGAGTGGGGGTGCCAGACCAAGGCGGAGCATCAGTAGCTGTCATGGGGCAAGCCTCTGATGGTTACTGAAAATTTTTTGCTCCCACATGCTGCGGTCCTTCCCAGTGCTCGCACCTGTTGCCGGCACTGAAACCGTTGCTCACACCTGCTGCCGGTGCCTGGTGCCAGCCCAAGCACTCAGCACCATCAGCGGGTGTGAGCAGTGGCTGCTGGTCCCGATTGCCCCTCAGGGCTTCTCCATGTCCCCCTGCTCCTGAGGGGCAATCAGGGCCAGTAGCCACCTCTTGCACCCATTGCTGGTGATGGCCCTTCTTGCCCCCACTGCTGGAGTCGCTGCTCACACCCACTGCCTGTGCTGGCCCCAAATGCTCCGCACCATCAGGGGGTGCGCGTGGGGCTGGTGCCATCAGCACTTGGGAGCAGTGGCAGTGGGAGCAGGGTTGCCAGCAGACAGGGGACCAGAGGCCATGGTGGGAGGGGCAGGAAAGGTGCACAGAGGATGGGCCGATACCCGCCCCTGTGCCTACAGCAGCCTCACGGCCCACAGTTCCTTTCAAGGTGCATGAATTCGTGCACTGGGCCCCTAGTAAATATATAAAAGCCTAAGTGACTGAATGACCAAATGACTGGTCACTATAATGTGCACTGACCACCAGAGGACAGATGCTGAACACAGGAGTTGCCCCCTGGTGGTCAGTGCACTCCCACAGCGGGAGTGCCGCTCAGCTGATTTGATGGGCGCCAGACGCAGGGCTCGCGGCAGCAGCAAGCCTACCGGGAGGCGATGGCAGGTGCAGCAAGGCCAGGATGAGCAGGAGCAGCAGGCAGCATTGGACTGCCGGTTTTGGCTCAATCCCTGCAGGCTACACCAAGGAACCCCAACAGGCGCGAGCACTGGACAAACCCCACGGATTTGTGCACCAGGTCTCTAGTATACATTTAATTGTCTCTTAAGCTCTCTGGTACAGCTGAAAATATCCTCTTCATACAGTAATACATAGGTTTCAGTTTTTCTGAGTTTTTTTTTCATCTTTTGGTTCTCACCTGGAGAGTTGCTCAGTTGTCAACTTAGCCCTTCCTTGCCATCACTCTGGAAATTCCCTTTGTCTTTGTTCTTGATGCATGTTCTGTTTCTTGGGGCCTATTTTCCTCTTTATTATTAATGTTGTTTATTTATATTTAAAAATATGTTTTTATTAATTTTAGAGAGAAAGGAAGAGGGAGAGAGAAACTTCGATTGGCTGCCTCCTGCATACCCCCTATTGGGGATCAAGCTCAAAACTCTGGGCATATGCTCTAACTGGGAATTGAACCCATGACCTTTCGGTGTGAGACAACACTCCAACCACCTGAACCACACTGGCCAGGGTTGGGAGTTCTTTATATATTCTGGATAGTAAACCCTTGTCATATATACAATCTGCAACTATTTCCTCTCATTCTGTAGGTTGTCTTTTGGCCTTCTTGATAATGTCCTTGATGCACAAAATTTTGATGAAGTTCAACTAATCTATTTTTTCTTTTGTTGCTTGTTGTTTTTTTGTGTCACATCAAGAATGCATTGTCAATTTCAAGGTCATAAAGACTTACCTTTGTATTTTCTTCTAAGTGTCTTACAGTTTTAGCTTTTATATTTAGGTAGTCAATCTATTTTGAGTTCATTTTGTATATGGTGTAAGGTAGGCATTGGACTTCGTTTTTTTCAACTTTCATTTTTTTTTAATGTGGAGATCCAGTTGTCACAGCACCATTTCTTGAAGAAACTGTTTTTCCCCCACTGAATAGATTACACTCTTATCTAAAATCAAGTAATCAATTATCCATAGATATATAGGTTTATTTCTGGACTCTCAATCCTATTCAATTGGTCTTTATGTTTGTCCATATGCCAGTATCAGACTACTTTGATTACTTTATCCTTGTAATAAGTTTTGAAATAAGGAAGATTGAATCCTCCAACTTTGTTCTTTTTCATGGTTGTTTTGGTTTTGGGGAGTCCCTTGCAATTCCACATGAATTTGAGGATCACCTTTTCTATTCTTGCAAAAAAATGCCATTGGTATTTTGATAAGGTTTGCATTGAATATGTAGATCACTATGGGTAGTATTGACATCTTACCGATATTAAGTCTTCCTACCCATGAACATGGGTGTCTCTCCATTTAGTTAGGTCTTCTTTCATTTCTTCAACATTTTATACGTTTCAGTATATGTCTTTCATCTCCTTGTTTAAATTTACTCCAGTGTATTTTATTTTTATAGATGCTATGATAAGTGGAATTGCTTTCTTAATTTCTTTTTTGGATTGTTTGTTGCAGGTATATAGAAATATAAGTGATTTTTTGTGTGTGTTGATTTTACACCCTGCAACTGTACTTAATTTACTAGTTCTAGCAGCTTTCTTTTGGATTCTTTATTTAGAAAATCACATCATCTATGAATAGAGATAGTTGTTACTTCTTCCTTTCAAATGTGGGCACCTTTTATTTATTTTTCTTATCTAATTGCTTTGGCTACAACTTCCAGTCCAATACTGAATAGCAGAGATGAAGGTGGGCTTCCTTGTCTTGCTCCTGACCTTGGGTAGAAACCTTTCAGTATTTTACCATTGAGTATAAAGTCAGCTGTGGGTTTTTTGTGTTTATTGTTTTATAACCTGTTCTTAGTTTTCTGACTGTCTTTATTGTGAATTGGTGTTGATTTTGTCAAATGATTTTTCTGCATCAATTGAGATGATCATGTGTTTTCCCCCTTTCATTCTAGTAATGTGGTGCATAATGTAGATTGATTTTATGTTGAACTATCCTTGTATTCCTGGGATATTCCTTTATTTTTTTTTCTTTCTTACCCTCTCATTTTGATGGAGTACATCTTCCAATGGCTTCCTGAGGAAGGGTGCAGAAGAGGTAAAAGTTTGTAACCTGGCTATATACAGGGTGTCCCAAAAAGTGTACACACACTTGAACAGCCGATAGCTCAATTCTGAAAATGAAATGTATTTCAATGAACACTGTCTTTATAATTATTCAAAGTGTGTGTATACATTGTGTGTGTGTGTGGGGGGAACCCTATATTCTGGGCAATATTCTCAACTTTATCTTTCACCACATGTTTAATTATTTTATCTTTGCAATCACATTTTAAATATCCCAAAGTCCTATCTTGTCTCTTAATGTTTCTTTTTCTTTTATAGCAGCCTTGGCTGGTTGAGAAAATATATATATATATATATATATATATATATATATATATATATATATATATATGTAAATTGATTTCAGAGAGGAAAGGAGAGAGAAAGAAACATTAATGATGAGAGGTAATCATTGAACGGTTGCCTCCTGCACACCCTCCACTAGGGATGGAGCCCACAGCCTGGCTGGGGACTGAACTCGTGACCCTTTGGTTCATAGGTCGACGTTCAACCACTGAACCATGCTGGCTATGTGCAGATTTAGTTTTCGACAAGTGGAAAAACAAACTCTTCTGTGATAGTTAAGAAAGGAAGAATGGGTGGAGATGGAAGGAAGGTGAGGTATTCCTCCTGATAACTTCTATTTTCTCCGTGACACAGATGGGGAAGACATCTCTTGAGATAATAGGGAAGGTAATGGGGTAGGAGGTAAAAGAGAAGTCAAAGCTAACTACCTCAGAAACCCGGCTGCTTCCTGAGCAGCCCTGAGGGTTCACACCAGAGCCAGAGACTATCAGTCAAGCATAGCAACCTATCTGCTCAGTCAGAAAAGTTCCTGGTCAAGGTGTGGAGGAGACAGGCTCTTGGACAGCTCCGTGGCTGATATTCTTCTAGCCAAGAGGTCCAGAAGAGCACAAGGTCAAAGGAATTAAGGATATTGACAAGGGATTGATGTGACTGAGTGTGGCATTTCTGTTACGTTCTTATCTGCTCGCACAGTCTCTGGGAACCTTAACAAATCCTAACTGTTCAGCTTGACATTTTTCCACGTGAAAGTTTCATGTTGTTGTGTTTTTGTTTTGTTTTTTTTTAAATTGAAGCCTTTATTGAATTTTCTACCCTTACCATTCACAAGCTGTCAAGGATCAGGCCTTTTCACATTGTTCTCAAAGGGTCCCCTTGTGTATATTTCTCCATGTAGACAGTATAACCCATTTATCTTTATTCTGTTTCTTATCATTAAAAGGGAATAAAAACCAGATTAGTCAGGACCCCTATAAGCAGAGAGAATGCTTTATTCTCTGCAGTAATGACAAGGTATTATTGATATTCCCTTTCTGATTTCTGGATATTTCACCATGAAAACAGAACACATTCTGAGTGCATATCATTCAGTGGTTCAAGTTTATTTGTTTCAATAGATGGATGAAGCACACCACATTTTGTAACTTTTTCTCCCTCAAGAGTCACTTTATCTTAAGACAAAAGATTCTCTTAAAGAACACATACACGTGTGTGCACACATGCACACCTACTCAGGCGCGCTCACGTGTACACACACACACACACACACACACACACACATGCACGCACACACACTCTCACACACAGCAAATACAAAAACCTAACTCCACCAAAGTGCGTGTGAATGAAGTGCAAACAAGTTTCATTTTCAAACTCTGGGAGCATTCTTTCTGTTTCAGAAGCCAAACAGAAAGGTCCACCCTGGCCTAGGCCAGAGCTGGGCGAGGCTGCTGGGCCAAAGTGTAAGCGGCACCTCTGCTGGAGAGCCGGGCAGAGGGCACATGGCACTGGGCACCGGCGCCAACGCCCTCCCCTCACTGCCCTCCCAGGTCAAGGTGCGCTGATCTCATTTGGGGACAGGACGGGGGTGAGAGGGAGGTAGCAGGGTGGACAGGAGGCAGGTTTCTCTCTCCTTTTTTATGATTTGGTTTCTTTGCAAAGAGTTTGACATTGGTGCACAAAGCGCTGGGGCCTCCATGTTCGGAGGCCTGGGGCCCTTTTCCTCGAGGCCCTTGGTCCCTCCTGCCTTCCTGGTGGGCAGGTGTTCAGAGTGTGGTTAGTAAATCCACATGGCAAAGCCATGCCAGCCCCACTCAACTGTGCGGACTGGCTGCCTTCTCCTCACACCACAAAGCCAGCGAGCATCTCTGCCAAAGAACTGGGGAGTTTTGCCACCACTTAAGCAACCAAGATAGACTCTTGGCCAATGGGGACACCAATGCAACCTCTCAGGCCTGCCCAACCCTCAGGCCTGCCCGCCCGCTTTCCTCCCTGGGAGGTCATGCTCAGAGCACGTAAGTCCCAAGGGAGCTCAGCTGGGACGCTGAATGGCTGCCAAGCAAAGCGTCTGGTCCCTTGTGAGAGAGGGTCCCCTGCTGGGCAGGGACAGGAAAGCAACTGAACTTTGGGGTTCTCTCTTTTATGGGAGCCATAAGCTTCAGATTCTAACACGAATAGCCCTTGACATTTCCCCAACACTGAGCCTCACATCTCCCCGTCAAACACTTCTGAGTGCACTACACACACACACACACACACACACACGCGCACACACACGCACGCACACAGGCATGCGCACGCTCACATGCACACGCACACGCACACGCACACCTCCCATGGCTGCCTGAGCAGTCTGGGGAAGGCCCAGCTCAGCCCCCGCTCCCCGCCTCCATGTGGGGCCTGCTCCCAGGCTTCCGGTTTGGCAGTGGCTCAGTGGGGCTAGGCCCCCCACTTGTACAGAAAGAGCGAAGTCCCAGAGTCCAGCAGGCACCACCCCCCCTCCGCTCCACCACCACCGCAACACGGATGGAGAGGGGAAGAAAGGCTTCACGGACTCAGAGAGCTCCAAGACAGAATTCACTTTTCCAACTCCCAACTTCAAGTCCTTCGTAAAACTCAAGAGCAGGGCATGTGAGGGACAGGTTGAGGTGATGTTACAGCGTGTGTGTGTGTGTGTGTGTGTACTAGACAGAGTGCTACATGCCCATGCCAGGAGGCCTGGCACGCATGCTCCCCTGACTCCTTCCATGGGCAACACCTTGGCTGAGACCCATTGCTGCCAGCTTTGGGAGCCACTATGCCTGGTGGAGCTGCCCCACTGACTGAGACTGTCTGACGCACTCTTGGGCTGGCCATGGCTACCTAGACATTCAGGCTGCCTCCTCCCACACCTGACACACTGAGAGGGCGTGGGGAACGCCCGCCCATGGAACCTTAACCCCTGCTGCAGAGGCAGATGCTCCGCCCACCCGCTCTGCTGGAAACAGGACTGGACGTGGGACACTCACAATGCCAAGCGGTCCAGAGCTGGACACATTTGAGAAGGCATCTGGGCTCAGAACCCCTTGCTTCTGGGTAAAATGGAGAAAGGCAGCCCAGACTCCCATTGGGTCCTATGAAAACATGTGTCTGAGGCGCACCCACTCTAAGGGAGGAGCCAATGGGGTCTGGCTGTGCCAGGGTGGGGCCACTGACCAGAAAACCGGGCAGCACAGTGGGGGCGGCAAAGACAGAGGGGGAGGTGCCTTCTGAGTGAATATGTTTGTGGCAGGGTCGCTTGGTATGAGGAAAGCAGACCAGGAAAGAAAAGCACAGAGAGGCTGAGAAGGGCCTCTGACTCTCCCGGACTGTTCTTACTTGCAAACAAAAAGCAGCTTTGGTGATCAAACAAGTTGGCTGGAGATGTGGCTGCGACAGGCAGGGCACCCCCGACCCGCTCCGTCGGTAACGCCCCCCCCCCAGCAGCGTCACACCCTCGCTGCTGTGCCTGGTGGCAGATGAGTTCCAGGACTCCTTCCCGCCCCGGGCTCCTCTGCTCCCAGGCCCCGTGGAGGAAGCAGCCCCGGAGAGAAGAGCAACCAGCCCTGGTCAGACGCGGAGCGCGGTGGGGGCCCAGGTGGGGAAGAAGGAGCTCAGGTTAGGAAGGAAGCATCGGTGCCGAGGGGGGCCCGGCCGGGGCTGGGGGAGGGCCCAGCCCCGGGCCAGTCACTTTAAGGTGTCATCGGCGTTTTTGAACATGAGAATGGCGTTATAGATCTTCAAGGCCGGACCCAGCTTGACGCTCATGATCTTCACAATGTCCGCCTGTGTCAGGAGAAGGAAGGCCTCGCCATCAATCATCTGAGGGTTGGGGAAGGAAGTGGACATTGGAGAAGGCGGAGAGGGTCGTGGGGAAGGAGTGAAGGGAGGTGGGCGTGTGCATGGCGAGGGAAGGGGAGAAGGAAAATTGGAGTAAAGGATATATGGGGGGAAGGGAAGGAGAAGGGAGAGGGAGAGAAGAAGGAAAAGGAGAGAGGACAAGGGAGGGAGAGAGGAAAAAAGGAAGACAGCAATGGGGACAGAGAAGGAAAGAAATATCCACTGGTGTTCCCATGTTCACACACACACACACACACACACACACACACACACACTCTTTCTGCTGGACTTCAGTGTGTATTTGCATAATGTTTTCTGAGTCTTCACTGACAGTGGCTTCAAAAAACTGCTATTGCTGCCCCAGTCAGTTTGGTTCAGTGGTTAAAGCGCAGGCCTGCAGACCAAAGGGTCCCGGGTTCGATTCCAGTCAAGGGCATGGGCCTCGGTTGCAGGCTCCTCCCCAGCCCAGGCCCTGGTCCGGGCTCATGCAGGAGGCAACCAATCCATGTGTTTCCATCACATCGATATTTCTGTCTTTCCTTCTCTCTTCCACTCTCTCTAAAAGTCAATGCAAAAATATCCTCAGGTAGAGATTAAAACGGCAGCAACAACAAAAACCTGCTGTTGCTGTCCCCACATGAGCCCACTGGTCAGTCTCAGAGCCGCTAATAGACATGGGGCATTCCGATGAATGCATCACAGTATTACCTACGAGCTCTGAGAGAGAGAGCGAGCTTGAGATTTCATCTAAATCTCACCAAGCCTTTGTTTCTAACTTCCAGTTTGTAGGAAATACACGGGCTGTTGAATGACACTGTAAGGAAGCAATGAGACAAACCCAGGGAACCGTCTGCCAGACGTTTCCCCGGGGTTCCTGTGCCTCCTGTGGAGACTTCTCACTGCTGTGACTGCTGAGGTTCACTCTAGGTACTTCAAAGCAAAGACTGGAGCTTGGTGACCAGTAGTTTGGGACTATGCCAGGGGACAAAGGGATGACTCAAGAACATACAAGATGTTGTATGTGTGCTGATGTATACGGAGAGTTTTCAGCCATAATCTCGGAAATGGCCATATTTGACCGTGGAGGTAGAGGAATTCAACAGGAAAATGAATAAAATGAGCCAAATGCAATGATCCACCCTAAGCAATAGCCCCGGAGCTGTGGCTAGGACCAGGGAATTTCCCCAGGTGGGGGTAACCTGGAAAGATCCGTAGAGAGCCACACATGGGATGTTCAACAGAGGCCAAGCTAAAGTCCAATCAGCTGATGAGAGACTTCTATGCTGTCATCACAGAGGCATGGCCCCCAGGACTCCAAGAAAGAGGGGTGCTCGGGGAGCAGGAAGCTGCTCGTTTATCCAGCTGCACAGTCAGCAGAGGCTGTTGACCCCTCTCTGCCCTGCCTTCTCCTCTGAGCACCCATTACACCTGGCACACACCTCCCCCAGAGTCCTAACCACAGGCTACCAGAAGCAGCCATTTACCATTCATCTGGACCAGTGTCCCTGCATGTCCCGGCTGCTTCCGTTCGGCCAGAGAGAACCCACTCCCTGGGGAGACCGATGCCGTGGACCAGACCTTGGAGAAGGCGGTCCTCAGCCCCCACAAAGCTCTGCACTGAGACGGTACTGGGTACTCGGTCCACCAGCACACCTCCCTGCTCTGGCCATTGCTGTGCTGTATCACAGAACACGCTGGACCGAGACATGCAGCAGATGTTCCTGGACAGATAAGCTTTGTCCCAACAAGGGAACTATGCGGAGCCCAGCATGAGCCAGAGGATAGCATTCCCGGGTGGCTCAGCTGGCTGAACAGCTGTACTCAGAGAGCGTTCGTTTATGATCGGCTGTCACCTAATGGGAGAGCTCTAATGGACGCCACGTGGTTCTGCTCTGTTTTATCAGCATGTGTGGTGAAGACTTGCCTTAATGAACACAGAAAGCTTAGTTATCAAATGTACAAGTTGTAGCCCAGCTGGGGTGACTCAATGATTGAGCGTCAACCCATGCACCAGGAGCTTTCCGGTTCAATCCATAGTCAGGGCGTACAGGAGGCAGCCCATTGATGTTGATGTTTCTCTCTCATTGATGTTTCTATCTTGCTCCCTCTCCTTCTCTCGCTCTCTCGCTCTAAAATCAATAAACATATATTTAAAAAATGTGCAAGTTGTATGAGGCTGGGAAGGCTTATTAATATCAGAGATGATAGAGTTAAGATTTAAAACAGTGAGATCATGAAACCAACATGATAACGTTTAATAGGGAGAAATGTAAAGTCTTTCGTTATATTAATTTTAAAAAACCAGTGGTACAAGTAACCCACTGGAAACTTTGGTTTGATTATAATGGATAATTGATATAAAAGCAGTTGGGGACTTTCATGAACTAAAATCTGGTGTGATGTGGCTATACTAAAGCTAGTGCAATCTTAAAGTTTTTCTCACAAAAATATAGGGTTCAAATCAAGGGGGAGAAAAAATGTCCGCTAACGGTGGGATATTCATAAAATGGAGCACTGCGTGGCAATAAAAATGAACAAACTAAGGGTCTACACAAGGACATGAATGAGCCTCAAAAGCATCACTCTGAGCGAAAAGAGACAGACAAAAAAGAGTACGCTGTATGATTCCATTCACATGGCGTTCAAGGGCAGGCAGAGCTAGTCTGCGGTGCCGGGTGTGAACAGCAGTTGCTGTGAGGCTGGGGCTGGAGAAAGGGGCCGAGAGAGAACTCTCTGGTGAGACGGGAATGCTCCATGTCTTGACTGAAGTGTGGGGGTCAGAGTGCACACATCTCACAAGGCTGTGGCTGAGCACTCTGGCGGTGGGTGCCTTTCTCTCCGTGTACATCTGATGTCCATGCACACACACCTAGTGTCAGTTCATCTGCTGTGACAGATGCCCTGCTCTGAGGAGCATGCCAATGGAGCGGAGGCTGTGCAGGTGGGCGGGGGGCATGTGGGTAATCTCTGTACTGTTTTCTCAATTTTGTTGTGAACTTGAAACTGCTCTAAAGAAAGGAAGTCTACTTAAAAACAGAAACCAGAGCCATCTGGAGGGGCAGCCCAGGTGTTGTGCTGTTCAGAGAGCGTCTGAAGCCCAGGTGCCGCCCTGGACACTCCGATTACGGTAAGAAGGTCACAGCCCAGAAGGGAAGGGCCAGAATGGGGAGGAGGAGGGAGCCCACCAAACCAGGTTCAGAGGAAGAGCGCGGCTGGTGGGCTGGAGAGAGGTTCTCCCGGAAAGGGGCAGTCTCCTCTCTCCTGGGCTCGCCTGGAGGAGGCACCAGGGGAGCAGAGGCACTTGGGGGAAGGGGTGTGTGCATTCTTTGGGAGGAAGCCCGAAACAAGCTCAAAGGCCCCTTCCGGCTTCAAACTCTACAGACTGGAGACATGATAAAGTTCTCATTTAAGGATGACTGCACATTCAAAGTCAGCACAACCACTGCCTGAAGCCCCACTGTGTCAGTCATTCTTGTAGAGTGATATGACTTACATATTACTCTATAATATTATGTGTAATATTAATATATATGACCCTTACAATATCTATATAATATTCTTGTAGAGTGATATGATTTACATATTACTCTATAATATTATGTGTAATATTAATATATATGACCCTTACAATATATATATATAATATTCTTATAGAGTGATATGACTTACATATTACTCTATAATATTATGTGTAATATTAATATATATGACCCTTACAATATATATATATAATATTCTTATAGAGTGATATGATTTACATATTACTCTATAATATTATGTATAATATTAATATATATGACCCTTACAATATATATATATAATATTCTTATAGAGTGATATGATTTACATATTACTCTATAATATTATGTATAATATTAATATATATGACCCTTACAATATATATATTTAATATTCTTGTAGAGTGATATGATTTACATATTACTCTATAATATTATGTGTAATATTAATATATATGACCCTTACAATATATATAATAGCATATATACTAGGGTATAACTATACTAGACATTCTGATACAGCGATCCACTAGTCATTTCCAATGCTCACAGTGGCCTTTCTATAGCTATTTTATCTCAGTTTTACACAGGAGAAGATGCAGGCTCAGGGACAGTGAAAAGCTCCAATCAGCAGGACTGGGATTCAAACCCAACTGTCAGCAAAGCTAGCACTCTTTTATCTACAGCTCGCTGCTTCTCGCCTCTGGGGAGCTTTGGGGTCTTGGTTTTAAGTGTATGTTAGGATCCCTGCAGTAATGGCCATACCTGTGCCATCAGGTATTGAAATGCACTTGAATTAACCGGCTGATGATGCATTTGGAGAACAAAAGATGGGGCAGAGGGCAGAGGGGCGGATGGAGCCTGGCCTCCGGGATGCTCCTTCCCTCCTGGGACGGTCTGCAGACAGGGGGGTCCCCGCTGGGCCAGGGCCGCACCAGATTGTCCCCAGAGGGGTGGCTGTGACTGCTCTCCCGCAGGCGTGACCAGAGGACCCTCCCTATCCGGGGCAGCACTGGGGGACCCCACCTCCTGCCTCTCAGCGGGCGCTCTCTCTCTGTCCCCACGCTGCACCTGCACCTTCCTTACCTCATCCTTGAAGACTTGTGCTTGGTCCTCACAGCCTGTCAGGGTCTGAACGAAGCCGAAGACCTTGGAAATCAAAGGAGACATGTTGCCTGTTGCCAAGGAGACGGGGGCTTGGGAGACAGCGGGGAGGTGGCTTATATGGCCTTGGCCCCTTGTGCCCTGTGACTGTGCTGCTTTTTCTTATCCACCTAAGAGGGTCCTTGCATCTCTGTGCTACTGAGCATGTGAGGCTCAGTCTGCCTCTCCCACTAGATTTCCCGGTGAGCTAGTCACCGGCCCCTCTCCCCAGCCACCAGGATGGGCCATGCAACAGTCTCTCTGTCAGTGCCTGCTGAGCAGCTAGGAGGGCCTTCAGATTGAGGGATGAGCAGGAGGCAGTGGCAGGGGCAGCTTCCAGCTCTGCCCAGGAAGGCCTCCTGGACGAGGTGAGAGGGCGGAGGAGGGGAGGGGAAGAAGGGGCGGAGCTCCTCACCTCGTCGATGGTCCACTTGGCCACTGTGGAGGCCGAGATGCCCGCCACTCCCGGCAGGAGCTTGCAGTGCTGCTCCCAGCACACCGAGAGGTACCGGTCAGGGTGGGCCGACAGGGACGACATGAAGAAGGACTGGTGGATGACATCGGGCGTTAGTGCTGGAAAGCAGAGGCAGAGACTGGCAGGCCGGCGCTGAAGACTAACCTGGCCCCGGGAGCCGGCCTGTGCCCACGCCACTCAAGAGGACCGGGCCCTTTCTGACAGCCTGGCAGAGCCAAGAGGGGGCTCCAGATCTGACTCCTGTGGGCTCGCTCCTCCCGGGAAAGTGGGTTCCTTGCTTTACAGACTCCCAGGGCAGCTGTCTGGAACGACCTCCTCCCAGCCCCACCCCTAGCTGCACCCCGGGGCTCTGCTAAAAGGCTTTCTCAGAGCGGCTGCAGCATCCCGGTCCATTTCTACAGATGCCCTGCATCCAAGGGGCGGACATCCCAGCAAGAAGAAGTCCGTCTGCCTGTCCTCCTTTCCCTAAGTCCCTTCGGGCCCTCACTAAGTTGCTCTTGAATCCTGGGCAAGTCACATAACGTGGGCCTCAGTTTCCCAGCCTGTCAGTGGACAGGCTGGGCCAGGAAATCTCGGTGATCTCCTCTTGTTCTCGCAAACACTGACACTCACGGGGCTGGGAGGGCCCTGCCAGCAGGGAGAGCACAGCCGAGTCCCATCCGTGGCAGGCAGCCTGCACCTCGGAGCTGTTTGCCAGCGAACCCTGGAGCCCACCCTGCAGAGGCTTACGCCCGTGGATGTGTGAGAAGTCTCCGGGACGAGATCCAGAGCGACCTGTGTCCCGTCTGAGAGACGGCCAGCTGGCAGGACAAGGGAGTCCTGCACAGAGGTCCGGGGCCTGCGCCCGGCCCCCGGTTCTGTCCCGGAGGGCCATAGCCTCAGGCTCGGGGCAGACTGAGCTTCCCCAGTCCTCAGGACTCCTCTGGAAGGCACATAGGCACCCGCCCCCCGGTGGTCAGAACGAGGCCCTGCAATGGAAGCCGACCGGGTTTACCACTGAAGGTGGAAGAGGCACCGCTGCAGTCCCACCGGCAAAAGTCCTCCCTCTGAGACCCCCTCCCTCAGGCCTTCTGTCTTCACCCAGAGGAAACAGCGGGGAACAACACCGGGAGGGAGTCAGGCAGGAGATCAGGACACACAAGAATCCCAGCAGGGTATGCGACCATCTGGTTTAAGTCTCCCACCGCCTTTTGAGATGGGCTCTGTGGTCATCAGCATTTCACAGGTGAGGCAACTGAGGCTCAGAGAGGTGGCATCACCTGCTCAAGGCTTCGCAACAGATCAGAGACTGTCCCTGAAGCGCTCGAAAGGCTGGGTCCTGCCCAGACATGGTGTGATGAACGGGTTCATGGTCTCCTCTGGATTTAAATCCACGTGCAACTCAGCTGAGGCCAGATCCCAGTGCCCCTGTTGTGTACCAGCCCTTGCTACTGGCCAAAGCTGTGACACGAATTCATCATATTACAATGGAGGGAGTCCCTTTGTGCCTCCCCTTGGAGCATGCCATGGGCTGAACTGCGTCTCCCCAAATTCATGTTAACACTCTGGCCACCAGGATGTGGCTGTATTTGGGGAAAGGGCCTTTAGAGAGGGGATTAGGTAGGCTGGACGCTAATCCAATCTGAGTAGGGCTCTTATAAAAAAAAGAATTTTGGACACACAGAGAGATGGCGGGGGGTGGGGGGAAGAGGATACAGGCACAGAGGAAAGACCATGTGAGGACACAGAGAGAAGGCAGACATCTTCAAGGCAAGGCGAGGCCTCCGAAGAAACCAGATAGATCCTCCACTCTTTGACTTTTAGCGCCCAGAAATGTGAGAAAATACATTTCCGTTGTTTAAGCCGCCCCTCTGTGGCGCTAAAGCAAAGGGGGGTGGGAAGGGGACTGGCATTAGGTTAGGTGCTCAGTGTCTATCACATCAGCAGCACAGCAGAACTAAGACCCGCGTTCGAATCCCAGCTCTGCTCCGGACAAGGCGAGTGACCTCAGGCAAACGACTGTTCTCTCTGAGCCTCTCATCTCTCCTTTCTCAGGAGAGAATCCTGTCCACAGCACAGTCAGCGGCCACAGTGTATGGAAGCGCCTGAAACAGTGCTCGGCTGGAGTGCTCAGTGAACCCTGACAGTAACCACTGTTATTGCAGGCAGCTGGCATGGGAGAGGCACTTTTTGTGTTTCGTTGTTGTTGTTTTTTTCTTTTAAACATGAATTTATTTTGAGAGAGAGAGAGAGATGGATTTATTGTTCCAACCATGCATTCATTGGTTGCTTCTTGTATGTGCCCTGACTGAGGATCGAACCCCAAACCGTGGCATATTGGGATGATGTTCTAACTAAGAGCAAAACCCTGCCAGGCAGTTATATTCATGTTTCCAGATGAGGACACTGAGGCTCAGAGACGTTCAGTGACTTGCTCAAGGTCACACAGCTAGACAGTGACAGCCAGGGCCTCCCTTCCAGGGAGCCCAGAACAACAGCGCTGGGGCATCACCTGACCTCCCGGTGGAGAACCAGCGGCCCAGAGGGGTCTGTGCCTTTCCCACAGATTCCCACAAGGCCGTGGGTGAGATGGCCTGGAACCACTGGTCATTCGAGGCCCCGTCCTGTACTCCTGCCACTGCTCTGTGCTCCCCGAGCATCTCCAACGAAGAGCCACAACCGCCTCTCCAGCTTCTCCTCTCTCTCTCTCTCTCAAAGGACTATTTATTATTTTTTTAAATATGTTTTTATTGATTTCAGAGAGAGGGACGGAGAGGGAGAGGGAGACAGAAACATCAATGATGAGAGAGAATCATTGATTTGCTGCCTCCTACACACACACACACACACACACACACCCCGCAATGGGGATCAAGCCACTTGAGAATGGAACCAGGACCTCCTGGTTCGTGGGCCGATGCTCAACCACTGAGCCACACCGGCCAGACCAGCTTCTCCTTCTCTGTAAGCAGCCCACCCTTTGTAAACCCTCCGTGGAGGACGCAGGGGTAAATGACCCTGGACCCACTCGCGAGATCTCCCGGTGTGATCTGATACTTGGGAGGGCGCCCAGGCCTGGGGAGAGAGGGGCCAGGTCCGTGGCAGGGAACCGGCGCCCGGCCTTGCCCGAGAGGACCAGAGGCCCTGCACCCTCGCCCTCCGCACCGGCCATGGTGGTGAGGCGTGGGCCGAGGCCTCTGAGTGGGACAGCTCTGCTCTCAGCGGGGTCTGGTTTCTCTCAGCCAGGGAGCACCCCGAGAGGCAGTGGTGAGCCGTGAACTTGCCTGTGATGTGGCCGGAGCCGTCACAGCCAGGCGTGGGGCACTTCCTGGAGAAGGAGAAGGCGTAAGTTGGGCTGAAGCCGCTTGTTCCCAAGCCCGGCCCCATTCCGAGCGTCTGTAGCGAGCTCTGACTGGCCGCCCGGACCTCGCGGAGCAGGGCCTGAGGTCTCACCGGTGGTGGAAGCTGTACTTGGAGGTCCTCGTGTGCGGCAGGCCCCAGTAGCTGAGAGGGAGACAGCTCTCAGGGGAGGCAGAGCCGAGCTCTCTGGGATCTGGAGGGGCAGGAGGAAGAGTCCATAAGGCCCTGGGGTGGGGGGAAGGGTGGGGGTGGGATGAAGGGAGAGCAGGGAAGTCAGCCCTGGGCACTAGGTCCCCAGGTAGAAGGCCCCGAGCTAGGCTGTGCCACCACTTGCTGCTGCTGGCTATCTACCTCTCTGCAGGGAATGAGGGTTTGGCTCTCACATACTTTGGTGAAACCTGCAGGCCCTGCCCTCTGTCTCCGCGGGGAGTATCCAGCGCAGAGCTGGCTGGGCACCTTCAGAGCCATGTCAGGCAGACTGACATCCTTCCGTTTCCCCGTTTCATCCCCTAGACTAGGGGTGTCGAACTCAATCAGAGAAGGGGCCAAAATCTAAAATCCAGCCTAAATCGCGGGCCGAATGGTTTACTGAACGGTCATAAACTGTCATTGTGATGGAAACGCAGCGGAGTGCAGTGATGACAGCGCGGTGCGGGCCACATTGCAAGGCCTGGCGGGACGGATTTGGCCCGCGGGCCTTGTGTTTGACACATGTGCCCTAGACTTTGGTAACGTTTTTAAGGCTCCGCCCGTGCGTGGAGAGCAATCGAGAAGGATCAGCACCCCATGTGAGACACATGTGGCAGCAGCAGGGAAACGGGGGGAACCTGGGGGTGAGAACTGACCTCTAAGCCCTGCCTGGAAGGGCCCACATTTTGTTGAACAGGGCCAGCATTTCCTTAGCAAACGCCATGCATGTCTGTGTGGCCCCTAAGCACATCTCCCAGTGAGGTTCCCTTCACACCTCATATCCCAAACCCAACAGCTGGGGAGGCCAGAGGACTGCTGGGTACAGCAGCAAGCCCTGGGGCAGGGAGGGTGCGAGGCCTCCAGCGTCCTGGGTGTCAGGCCCGGGCGTGCTACCAAAGCGGGGGGTGTAGGAGCTCGGTGGGGGGGGGGGGGGGGGCGGGACGTCAGCAGGAAGGGGTCGGCGGGTCCTGGGGGTACACACGGAGAGGAGGCTGCAGGGGGTGCCCTGTCTTGGAGCACCAGCCGGCAGGATGGATGTCCGGGTGGTCGGCATCAATCCAGAAGTCAAAGGCGTGACTCCAGCCGTCAAAGTGGAGCTGGGGAGGAAAGGCCCTCGGAAGTCAGGCATGCCTCTCGGAGCCCGGCTCAGCCGGGGCGCCCTGCAGGCTCCATGAGGCTCTCCCCATCCCGGAGCCTGTCAGAAGCAAGATCCCGGACTGGAAGAGCCAAGGGGCCGACCCACAATAATCCGTCTTGGCCGAAACCGGTGTGGCTCAGTGAACAGAGCATCGGCCTGCGGACTGAAAGGTCCTCGGTTTGATTCCGGTCAAGGGCATGTACCTTGGGTGCGGGCACATCCCCGGTAGGGGGTGTACAAGAGGCAGCTGAACAATGTCCCTCTCTCACTGATGTTTCTAACTCTCTCTCTCTTCCTCTCTGTAAAAAAAATCGACAAAATATATTTAAAAAAATAATAATCCGTCTTGGCCGTCATGTGTCCCAAGGGCTTTGTCATTGAGTTATGGGCCTCTCCCATCCACCCTTCCATAGATCTAGGATTATTAGGCCCATTGTACAGATGAGAGTGCCGAGGCTCAGAGAGGGGAAACGACTTGCTCAGACACACAAAATGAGGCCCAAGGTCGGCAGCCTCGAATCCAGAGCTCTCTTCCCCACAGCGTGCAGCCTCCCCTGTGTCCGCTCATGCCATGTCCTGGACCCCGATCGGCCTGCCCCTCCCCCAGCCCCCGGGCCCCCGAGCCACCTTTATCCGATGGTCCTCCACGTCCTCCACGCTGGCCACGCGGATCAGGGATGGGTTCCTGCGGTCCACGGCCTCCAGCTTCATGTTAACAAGGAAGCCGTGCGGGGGTCGCTGCAAGGGGACAGCAGCCTTCAGGCCGAGGCCCAGCACAGCCGGGCCGAGACCCCCGAAAAGAGAGCCCAAATGCCGTGCCTGGAAAATGGGCGGGGGGCAGGGCGGGAGGGGTGCAGAGGCACAGCCTAGCTGCCCAAAGGGCTCCAGGACTTCCTGAGCTCAGCGCTGGGGGCAGGAGAGCCAACTCACCACCTTGAAGGCCCAGGAGGGCACAGCAGTGGTTCTCGTTTCCTCCAGGTATTTCTCCCAACAGAAGCTATCAGGGTCTGGGTAGTCTGGAGAGAGGAAGACAGCAACGTCTAGGCGCCCAGGCGCGCTGGGAGAGCTCTCTGCCCCCAAGGAGAAGCAGGGGCAGCGGCCTATGGAGGACGATCTACCCCGCATCCCCACGGCCGGCTCCTTGCGGGAGCTCCGGAGGCAGAGGGATGCTCGCAAGCACCTCCCCACCTCCCCGTTCGCAGGGCTGCCTGGGAACCTGGCTCCCTTCCTCTCCACGGCCCTGTGGCGCCAGCCCAGCCCCCTCGGAGCCTGTGGTATGTGGGCCCAGGCGGTTCTCCGAAGGGGAAGGGAACACCTTCTTCAGTCTGGAATCCTGCCCCCTTGTTGGGGAGGGGGTGTCACTTCACTCTCTTCCCTTTCACCTTCACCCAGTCGGGGTTTGACAGGACTCTCCTAAAATTAATGGGTTCTCTGCTTCCAGGCATACAAGCTGAGGCTCTTGGGGGTACTGGTACAGGACCTGGGAGAGGGGGTGTGCCCAGGCTGCACGGTCACCTTGTGGAGGCGTGAGCGGCTTTCCGTGCTTCTGGCACCAGCCGACCGGGTGGATGTAGGGGCTGCTGGCATCACACCTGAAACCCAAGCACATACTTCGCTGTCCCAAGTGGAACTGGAGGCCCGAGCCTGCAGCCTCCAACAGCATGGCGCCAGGGTGCACCCTGATTGTGCTCCTTAGTGAGAGTTAGACAGATGGCTGGTGAGCAAGCCAGACAACTGCAGCATTCACTGAAGGCTCTAACACTACCATCTTATCCAAGAGCAAATCATGAATCCTAACGTTGGTATGTCTAGATGGTGCATCTCATATTGCATTGTGGCTATGGCCAATGTGGTTCAGTGATTATAGGGTCATGGGTTCAGTTCCCAGACAGGGCACATACAGAAGGCAACTGACCAATGTTTCCCCCTCTCTCCCTCTCCCTTGCTCTCTCTCTAAAAAGTTAATAAAAAAAACATATCTAAGAGGCATTCTAGCATTCTTAGAAGAGAGCAACTTTATGAAACATGCACTTACTATTTTCTAAAGTATTCACAACAACAAAAGACCATACCTTCGAATGAGGATTATGTATATATTGCATTGTGTTTCTTATGATATGCACAGATCAGATCCACAGGTCAACCAATTATCTCCCTAAACCAGTGGTCGGCAAACTCATTAGTCCACAGAGCCAAACATCAACAGTACAAGGACTGACATTTCTTTGGAGAGCCACATTTTTAAAACTCAAACGTCTTCTAACGCCACTTCTTCAACACAGACTCACCCAGGCCGTGGCATTTTGTGGAAGAGCCACACTCAAGGGGCCAAAGAGCCGCAGTTTGCCGACCACGGCCCTAAATGAATGTGAATGCTAGGGCTGAGCAGGGCCTGCACGGTGTCTGAGTTTTCCAAGTCTTGCCTCCCACCCGCTGCCATCCCCTCCCCACCCCGGCCACGCCCGGGCCCTCCCGCTACCAGTAGTCATAAGTGTCGTCCCAGTTGTCGAAGTGCACCAGGAAGCGGCTGCCCACCACGTCGCTCACGCTGGCCACGCAGACGAGGGATGGGTTCATGCGGTCCACAGCCTCCAGCTTCCTGCCCACCTGGAAGCCCAGGGGTAGGGAACTCTGGGGGCAAGAAGAGGGGCTGCCACGGCCAGGCCAGGCAGGCCAGTGCCAGCCTGGAGGCCACTGGCAAGGCAGGGAGTGGGTTCCCTCAGAGCCTTGCTGGGGTGAGGGGGTGGGATAAACGGGCAGAATCGGAATCCCCAGCCCAGAGCCGCTCGGGGACTCCCGGCCCCCGAGGTGCCGTCAGAGGACGCCTCATAACGGCAGAAGAGGGTGACTGGCGGGAAGGTACCAGGTGGCGAGACAGCTGTCATCACCCCTTTGATAAGTCAGATAGCCTGCCCGGGACCACAATGCCAAGCAATGGCGGGGCCAGGACGGAAAAAGTCTGACTTACAAGCCCGTATCCCCTCTCACAAGAGCGGGCAGATCCCCAGCAGGCCCGTGGGCACCTGCAGGTGTGGTCTGTGGGCTGGCCTGGCGGTGCGGGGTGACTGCCCGAATGGGAACCCTGGCTTTCGATAGGGTGGCATTTTTAACGGGGTCCCTGTGTCTCTCAGACCATTTGCTTGGGATGAGGAGGTACGTGACCTGCTGGGAAAAGCTACCAGCTGCCCTGAACAGAGAAAAGACAGGGCCGAGCTGCTGAGACTAAATTGGGGGGCCTGGATGTGGGGCAGCTCCCAGCACGGAGGCTCGGACTGCACACCAAAAACCACAGAGCGAACCAAAGCGAGAAACAAGCACGGAGCCTGGCCCGCGTGGCTCAGGGGTTGAACCAGGAGGTCACGGTTCGATTCCCTGAAAGGGCACAGGCCTGGGCTGTGGGCTGGAGCCTCAGTGGGGGGAATGTGTCGGAGGCAGCTGATCCATGATTCTCTCTCATCCTGGATGTTTCTATCTTTCTCTCCCTTTCCCTTCCTCTCTGAAATCAATAGAAATATTCTTTAAGTAGCGAGAGGTATATAAAAATAAATTAAAAAGAGACATGCACAGTGGCACCTCAGAGCCCAGGCAGAGGCAGTGCGGGGCCTCCGGGGGGACGTAGGGAGAAGAGCTTTCTGCAGAGGGGACGGGGAGAACCTATGTCCAGCTCCTCCCTCCGGCCTCGGCTGCCTGTGCCCCTCCCGTCCGGCAGGAGAGACCAGAGGGAGCGGAGAGGCCGGGAGGTGAGCTCTCCTCGGGGCAGTCAGACCCCAGGGCCAGCGGCCGTGACGCCGTCCGGGGGCAGGTGCCCGCCCTGGCTCGGGGCACTCACGTGTCTCTGGCTCACGAACAGGTGCTTGGGGGCGGCCTGGGCCCTCGTGCAGCGCAGGTACTCGCTCCAGCTGAACTCGTCCTCGTCCTCGTAACCTAGGCCCGCGCGGGGCGGACAGAGCGCCGTGCAGACCAGGCCGGCCGCGGCCAGGGCGCCCCACGCCGAGGCAGCAGAATCGGGCAGGCCTGCAGCCCCCACCGCCCTCCAGGACCTGCCCGGGACCCATGGCAGAAGCGTGGACACTCCGAGGGGGAGGGCTCAGCAGAGCCCTGGGGCCACGTCAGAGCAGGAGGGGTGGAGAGGGGAGGTGGAGAGGGGGAGGGGAGGGAGCCCCCGGGGGTGAAGGGACGGGCCTGAGGGCCACAGCCTCCCTGCAACCAGCCTTGCCGGGCGGGCCGTACCTGTGGGGAGCTGCAGCGTGTGCCCCGTCTTCTCAAACCAGCCTGCCGGGTGGATGTCGGGGGAGTTGGCATTGACCCAGAAGTCATGGCACTCGGAATACCCGTCAAAGTGCAGTCGGAGACGGTAGCCACACACCTGGCCCCGGGGGGGAGGGGGATCACAGGGACCCTGAGGCCGGCGGACACCCACTCCTGCCTTCACCCCTCCTGCCCAGCCTGATCACCCCGGGGGCTCCCCACCTCCCTTCCCTCCCAGGCTTCCCGAACCTTGTGCCACGCCCTCCTGCCATGAGGAAAGCTCATGTGCTTGTGAGCTCTGAGTTCTGGGCATGAGACAGGCACATCTGGTGGCATCCTCCGGCCCTTTAAGACCTAGACAGAACCCTACGGGCACCTGCCAGGGCTCAGGCTGGCTCAGGGTCCCCCCCCGCCCCCCCCACCCCCCCGCCCTGTCTTTCTGTCTCTTCCCTCGCTGTTCCCCAGCCGCGCTCTGCTCTGGCCGCACTGAGCAAACGGCAGCGCCCTGAGCACACGGCCTGTGCCACACCCACAGCCCTTGCCCCCTTTGCCGCCTTTGCCCCCTCTGCCCGGCACCCGGCCATTCACAGCCCGCCTCTCCCAGCCGCGGAGGGCCCCTTCCCCGGGGACGCTTCTCCTGCCCCCTAGCCTCTCCGCTCACGCCACCCCGCGCCTGTGGGGTCACTGGCATGTCTGCCTGGCTGCTTCCCGCACAGCCGGGGGCTCTGGGACAACGAGCACCTCGCTGGGCTCCCGCCAGCGCCCCTGCCCCTGGGCTGAAGCACACGCCCGCTCCGTGCCATCACCGCCCCACGCTCCACCTGGTGTTTGTCCGCTTTCCGACTTTCTGTGTGCGCCACCCTAACCCCCCCCAGCCGGTGTGCTTTCTGAGGGCAGGAGAGGCCTCCCTCCTCGGAGCCCGAGCCCCCGATGCCCCCGGCAGGCGTTCTCCATCCGGACAGACCCCGCAGAACGGCAGTGCGAGCCGCGCTCACCTCGGCCACCGTGAGGATGAAGTACAGGGACGGGTGCTGAGGGTCGATGCCTTCCAGCTTCATGCCCGACCGGAAGCCGTTCTTGTTCTGAGGGACCGTCTGGTACTGTCAACGCACAGATGGGAGAGGACCCGCTTCCATCCGGCCTTGGCCTTGCCCAGCGGGATTGGGGTGAGGGAGCGGCCTTGGGCCCCGCCCGCCGGCACTACCAAAGGGACAGCTTATTTGGGGTCTTAGTGCAGGGGTCCAGAGGGGGGCAGAACAGCGCCCAGGCCGCTTGGAAAATGCGTGTTGACTCAGGGCTGGACTGAAGGGTTCTCTCTCGTCCAAGCCATTAAATATCAACACAGAGAACTGAGTAGAAGGCACCGGAATTCAAAAGGCTGCAGGCCCAGGAGTGGGTGGGTGAGCCTGGTTCCACCTCCCAATTTCTCCCCACCCTGGGCATCCCTCATCGTGGGCTCTTCTCTACGCTGGGTCCCCGACCAGCCTCTCCCCTTTCCATTCCGACGGCAGACACAGAAAACACCGGAAGGCCCGAGCTGGACGGCGAGTGCTCGGCTGGGAATGCAAGCATTTCCCGGGCGGAAGTCCCACTCACGTCCTGGAAGAGGCTGACCGGGGCGGTGATGGCCTTCTGCTCCTTGAGGTACGACTCCCAGGACCAGCCCTCCTCCTTCTCCCCGGACGCTGTGGGCAGGACACACCGCTGACATGGGGCAGCGGGGATGGGGACGGAGGAGGCCTAAGGGCCAGAGCGGGCTACGAGCAGACCTGGTTCCATTTTTCTTAGAACCAAAGGGTCAGAATGGGGGCCAAGCTGAAACCGGGTTGGCTCAGTGGATAGAGCGTCGGTCTGAGGACTGAAGGGTCCCAGATTCGATTCCGGTCAAGGGCATGTACCTTGGTGGCGGGCACATCCCCGGTTGGGGGTGTGCAGGAGGCAGCTGGTCGATGTTTCTCTCTCATCGATGTTTCTAGCTCTCTATCTCTCTCCCTTCCTCTCTGTAAAAAAAATCAATAAAATATATTTTTTTAAAAAGAAAAAAAGAATGCGGGGTCAGACCGATGGCGGTACAGGCTTGCTCATGCCACCAAAGGGAAGCAATGCCACGTGATACTCAGTCTTTGGAGACGGAGCCTGGCAGGGAGGCCTGCTCACAACCGGAGAAAGGCTGAGCACACAGAGAACACACATACTCTGACTCACACACCACAAACATTGTTTTTTTCTCTCTCATACTCTCACCCATACTGATGCTTCCCTATAGACGTACAGCACCCATCACAGCCGTAGCCTGCACTCCCGGCCTCCCGCCTCCCAATGGCGTCCACACTGCACATGAATAGCTACGTCCACAGGCCGCGTACCAGGCTGGCCGCCGGTCCACTCCTCACTTTCCGGAATGCTGGCCGCGGGCTGTCCCTCCGGGTCCTTCCTTTCTTCTCGCTTCTCCTGTGGAAGGCGAGCCGGACCCCAGCTTCCTGTCCTCATGCACTCGAGAGAAGCTACTCCCGGCCCGCCTGGCTCTCTGGCCACAGGGTGCTGGGGCAATAGCTCCCAGCCCGCCAGAGGAAGGCGGCCCAGCAGACAACCTCCTGCCACGGGGACACAGAAGCCCACCGACACCCCCCCACCGCCAGCAGCTCCACAGCGGGCCTATAACCCACCCGCCTCCTGCCCGGGGAGGGGAACGGGCACAAATGCCCGCCGGCCGCTCATGCCGTTTCTCCCAGCTTCTCTGTGCTCCCTCCCCGGCCTCTGGCCCGGGGCCGGGCTCCCGGACGGAGCTCCGAGCCTGTCCACGCCGCTCTCCCGGGGCCGGTGTGTGGAGTGGGGTGAGCCCTGGCCCTGGACTGAGGTGGGAGCTCCAGCAAGCAGCGGAGCGACCTCATTCCCCTCCCGCCAGGCACAGGCCCTGCCTCGGGGTGAGCCCCTGAAACACGATGGGGAGGGATCAAGTGTCTTCTCTGGCCCAGCCCGGCCCGGACTGACGGAGAGGACAGAGGACGGAGAGGACGGTGGGATGGGGACAGCCTGTGGCCTCCCGCCCCGCCCCTGCCCTCCTCCTACCAGGGCATCTGGCTCGGACTCCTCGGAGGGGCTGTGGTACTCCCGGTACTTCCTCTTCTTCACGGGCTTGAGCAGCTCCGAGGTGCTGCTGTGCGGCTTCTGGCCGGATGGGCTCTCCACCGTGGCCGGCCTGCGGGAGGGGCGGCCTGAGGGGGGGACCGCGGCCCCGGCCCCGGCCCGCCCGGCCCCTCCCCGAGGCCGCACGCAGCAGCGGGCCCCGGGGCCACGGAGCCGCTGGAGGGTGAGCCCGGCCTTACCGCTCCGGGAGCCGCGGCGGGCAGGGGCAGCCATCCCTGGAGGCGCCGGCATCCGGACGGGAGCCCGGCGGGGGCTCGCACGCCTGGCACTGGCAGGTGGCACCGCTCTCCGGGCGGTCTCGCGGGGCATCTCCGGGAGGGTCCTGGGGGAGGTCCGCTGCGGGGGTGCCAAAGGGGCCTCAGGCCCTCCACCCTCCCAGCCACACCCAGGCCCTGGCCTTGCCCTGGGTCCTACCTCCCCGGGCTCCTCTCCCGGCCACCGCCCCGCGCCCCCTCCAGCCTTCCCCCCTGCGACCCGCCCCGGGGCGCCGGCCTGGGCTCCTACCCCGCTGCTGGGCGCCCGCATCGCCGCCTCCCGCGGGCGCCTGGCCGGCTCCGTACTCGGCCACGGCTTCCCGGCGCAGCTCGGGGCTCGGGGGCTGCTCGGCTCCCACCATGGTCCGCGGCGCGGGCTCCCTTCGCCGGCTCTGGAGCGCGGGAGGGTCTCAGGGCGGCGACCGGCGGTTCGGTACCAGCCCTGGACCCACCGCCAGCCTCGCGGTCCCTCTCCCACCCCGCCCCGCCCCCAGCATCCCGCCCGGCCCCGCCCCCGGCATCCCACCCAGCCCCGCCCCCGGCATCCCACCCCGCCCCGCCCCCGGCATCCCACCCCGCCCCGCCCCGCCCCCAGCACCCCACCCAGCCCCGCCCCCAGCATCCCACCCCGCCCCGCCCCCGGCATCCCACCAGCCCCGCCCCCGGCATCCCGCCCAGCCCCGCCCCCGGCATCCCGCTCAGCCCCGCCCCCGGCATCCCACCAGCCCCGCCCCCGGCATACCGCCCAGCCCCGCCCCCGGCATCCCGCCGGGCTCCGCCCACCAAACCACGCCCCCAGAGCCCACTCCCACGAATCACGTCTCTAGAACCCCCCAGTCCTTCACTCAAAGCCCCGCCCACCGAGCCCTGCACCCCCTGCCAGCTCCCCCCTCTTCCCACCTCTGGTCCCCGCAAGCCCCCTCCGCGGGGAGGCTGGACCCCGCCCGTCCCCGGAGACACTGACCCGCAGGCGGCCCCCAGGACGCGGGGCCGGCGCCTCGGCCTCGGTCCGGCCCCGAAGCCGCGCGGTGCGGGCGCCGGAGCGGGCCGCCGGCCCTGCGCTCCGCTGCGGCCGAACGGTGGCCGTGACGGGAACTCGCTGCGGGGCGCCCACGTGGATGGGCTCCCGCGGGGAGCAGGACACCTCCAGGGGACCGCTGGGCAGGCCCAGGGTGGCAGAGCTGGCTGTGGACAGATACCCGGTCAGACCCCACACAGGCGAGCCTGTGGCTCCACCCCCAGATGGCCGTGCCTGTGCCGGCAGGACCCATCTCCTCCCCGGGACCCACACCTGCTTGGGCAGGCATGGGGGCGCTCCTCCCCAAACCCCTGGCTGGGCCCACCTGGAATGATGAAGGCGGCGGTGGGCAGGTGAGGGCCAGGCCCCGGGCTGCCCCTGGGCACCAGGTGCACGCTGACCTCCCCTGTGGAGGGCCCCTTCAGGGTTCTCAGCATCTCCACTTCAGCACGCCCCTTCATCCTGGCGGGCCTACAACCAGAACACAGCCCCAGGGGCGGTCAGGGAGGGAGGCCCCTTCATCCTGGCGGGCCTACAACCAGAACACAGCCCCAGGGGCGGTCAGGGAGGGAGAGCGCTTCTTGGAGGAGGAGGCCCGGCCTCAGAGAAAAGGGGGAGCCCCCAGGGGCGTAGGGTGCTTTAGGAACATATAACATCAAGTCTGACACCTGGCTGTAACCAGGTCCCCCGGGTGAGGGCTCCGGCCAGCCCTGCAAGTCTCCTCATGTCGGAAGACGGGCATGTGTGACGGTGCTTCGAAAACGGTGACATACAGAACTGACCCTTCACGACAGAGCCCAGGCCAAGTCCACACTCCATCTTTCTCAACCCCCACCTCTCTCCATCCCCAACAGAATCGCTCCCTTCTCCGTCTGGGATCTTGGAGCCCTCAAGGACCAGGTTCTCCCTCATTCGTACAGGAGGTGGTCTGCTGATCATGTTCTTTTATGCCACCTGTCCGCCCCAAGCACAGTGGGCACTCAAACATTTGTTGCGTAGCCCTGGCCAGTAAGGCTCAGTTGGTTGGGGGTCGTCCCATGTACCCAAAAAGGTGGCCTGTTGATTTCCCATCAGGGCACATGCCCCAGTTGTGGGCTTGATCCCCAGTGGGGGGCACACAGGAGGTAGTCAATAGATGATGTTCTCTCATCATGGATGTTTCCATCTTTCCCTCTCCCTTCCTCTCTGGAATCAATAAAAAGATATTTAAAAAAAAACATAAAGAGGTGGTTGAACAGGTAAATATAGGGGAACAAAAGACCTAGTGACATAAATATACTTAATATCAATCATTACTTAACTCCTAAAATGTGTTGGCCACTGTCCTAGATGTCTTACCAACTCTGTCCAAGGGAATTTTCTGTGATGATGATGGAAATGGCCAACATAGTAGGCACTAGTTACATGCGGTTACTGAGCTATTGAAAAGTGGCTGGTGTGACTTGAGAAATAGAATTTTTAATCTTATTTAAATTTAAATAAGTGGCCATATTTATTGTATTGAAAAGCAGAACTGTTGGTTCTGTCCTCAAACCACATCTCACAGTCCAATCACTTTTCTCCATGTCCATCACCACCATGCGAGTCCCACCCACCATCAGCTCTCCTTGGTTTTAGAAATTGCCTCCTAACCCATTTCCTGTTCTTTCTCTCCTGCCCCCTGTAGTCTATTCTCCAGGAAGTGAGAGCTTTTAAAGCGTAACCATCGGTCTGTGGACTGAAAGGTCCCAGGTTCGATTCCGGTCAAGGGCATGTACATTGGTTGCGGGCACATCCCCAGTAGGGGGTGTGCAAGAGGCAGCTGGTCGATGTTTCTCTCTCATCGATGTTTCTAACTCTCTATCTCTCTCCCTTCCTCTCTGTAAAAAATCAATAATATATATATATATATTAAAGCGTAGACCACATGTATTATCCAAAATTCCTCAATGGCTCTTCATTGCCCTTAAAATCAAACCAAAATGCTTTCCCCTATAGAATCTAACCCGTCTTCCTCTCCACCTTCCTCCTCCACCCTCTTCCTCGTGTCTCCACCCTAGACAGGATCTGGGCTCCTTGCATTGCCTGACATACCACTTCCAAGCCTTTGCCTCAGCTGTTCCCTCCACCTGGAATGCTCTTCCCAAAGATGTCTGCTCGGCTGCCTTCTTCCCCTCCTCCAGGCCTCAGTTCCGGGGTCTTTCCTGACCTCTCAAAGAGGCAGCCCACCCTCACCCTTTTTGCCTGCTTATCTCATTACTGTGTTTATTTCCTTCATTAGAATCAATAATGATCTACCTTCACTTACTTCTTTATGTTCGATCAGTCATCCCCACTTACGTGTAAGCTCCATGAGGGCAAAGATGTTATCTGTCTTGTTCACTTCGGCTTCCCTGGCACTTGGAATGGTTCCTGGCACACATCAGGTACTCAACAAGTATGTGTGCTGGATTCCGATAATTTCAATTTGTTAATAAAAAGCACACAGTGGTTAGAGCATCCGCCTTCGGATGGAAGGATAGCAGATTCCATTCTGTTCAAGGGAGCACACCTGTTTCAGGCTCCATCCCCAGTCCTGGTTGGGGCATGCGAGGGAGGCAACCAACCAATCTCTCTCTCTCACACTGATGTCTCTCTGTCTCTATCTCTCCCTTCCACTCTCTTTAGAAATCAATGGGGAAAATATCCTTGGGTGAGGATTAAAAAAACAAAAAACACAGTGTTGATAACTTGGTTGCTTTAAGGTGTTAGCAGTACTTGACAGTGGCTTCTGGCATACAAATTAAAGGAAAGAATGTGAGCCTAGTCTTTTTTCTTTTCTTTTTTAAATAATGTAGCACTTATTTATTTTTTTAAAATGATACAGCTACTTTACTTTTATTTATTTATTTTTAATTCTCACCCGAGGATATTTTTTTCATTGATTTTTAGAGAGAGTGGAAGAGAGGGAAAGACAGAGAGAAATATTGATGTGAGAGAGACACATCAATTGGTTGCCTCCTGCATGAGTCCTGACCAGGGCCAGGGCCAGGGAGGAGCTGGCAACCGAGGTACATGCTCTTGACTGGAATCGAACCCAGGACCGGAATCAGTCCACAGGCCCATGCTTTATCCGCTGAGCCAAACTGGCGAGGGCTGCGCCTAGTCTTAAGACAGAGTTAAGACAGTTTGAATCTCAGTTCCACTACGTAAGAGTAAGTAGCTTTCCTTCTGTAAGCTCAGTTGCCTAGTGTGTAAAACGAACCTGGTAATAGTATCTAAAGGGCTTTGATTAAGATTAAATGGGGAAAAAAAATCTGTGAAATCTTGAGAGCAGAAGGCCTTCAACAAATACCAATCCACTCCCTTTTAACAGGAATTCCAGGGAACTTGGTAGCTTCTGGCTCTTAACACGGAAGCTGCTTGCATGCAAAATCAGCTTGCAAAGGTTGCTGTCTCTCTTCCCCCTCCCTCTTGATGTTCTTTTGAATTTATTTTCCAGTATTTCCTTCCTAAAATAGAGTCCATCCTCCACATTATAAAGTGTATACGCAGGTAGGCAAAGGCAAGATATGTCACCTGACTAAGTAAGGCAACAAACCAAGGTCTGATTCCCCGTTTATATTCATAAAGTAGAATTCCCTGAATTCCAATTATTTTGCTTTGCACAGCTGACATGCTATTTGTACCATGTAAGTTCTTTTCAACAGAGTCAATTTGTTTATGCAAAACATTGTCAGTCATTCAGAGTGACTGTGGTTACTCTTGAAAGAATTCCGTTCCGTTTCCAGCCTATCACGTGCTTCGGGTCTATCCAGGGGCGGGACTGAGAGGACCGCCCTTCCATTCAGGCTTGCTGCCTTTTCACCCAGCGCACACTGCAGGGCCAGCTGGGTGTCAGCCCCATTCTGTGCTCTGGGAACACAATCTCCCACAAGACTAACTGCTCTCGCGAAGCTTATATTCTAGAAATAAGGGATAGAGGTGAGGCTGAGGATAACATCTGAAAATCATCATGAAGAGAGATGGCCTTGAGAACCTTAGGACAGAGAATACAGGAAAAGGTGGGAGTCTCGGGGCATGCCAAGATGGAAAGGATGGGAAGTGGATGCTCTAGCAGAAGAGACTTAGGAGGGATCTGCCATGTGGTGATGAGGGATGCAGAAGAGTCTGGGCTTCTGGAGGACACGTGAGGCAATCTTTCAGGAAGGTGCGACTGCTCAGTGGTGTCGGATGCCACTGACAGATCAAGTCAGATTCGGGCTAAGAGCTGGCCATGTCAGCAGGAAGGGGGTCATCAGACACCTCGAGAACCACTTCAGAAGAGCTGTGGACACAAAAACCTGACCGGAGGGGGTTTTAAAGAGAAAATTTTTTTTTAATGAAAAAAAAAAATACAGGACAAAAGAAGAAATCATTGATCAGTTCAATATTTATTGACCACCTACTATGCGCCAGACACTCTTCTAGACAATGCAGATTCACCAGTGAACAAAACAGACACCTCAGCCTATGTTCTATGTTCCAGTCTACGTTCTAGCGGGGAAACTGGCAGTAAGGATCGGTCCTGTACGGAAACGGAGACAATGGGTCTAAGAACTCTTCCAGGGGTTGGACTGTGAGGGAGAGCATGGGAATGGCATTTGGAGGGTGATGTGGTCTCAAGGAAGAGGTTTTGTTGGTTTTGCTTTTAAAAACAGGAAATGTTACAGCATGTGTGTAGCTGACGAGAATGAACCTACAGAGAAGAAGAAATGGACAGTGTGGGAGGGAAAGAATAATTCTAGAAGCCAAGCCCTTGCGTGTGCAGGAGGGAGAGGGTCACCCTGTGTGTTGGGACCCATTGCAGGTGGGTGTGGGCTCTTGGCTAGGAGCACCTACTACGTCTACAGTCTTTCTCCCCAACTAGGCAGCTGGCTTTCCTGAAGCCTGGATCTGCCTTCTCTGTTACTTGGATTCACCCCTCCTTTACCGCTGCCACCCCTCCATTGGAAGCTTACACCACATTTCCATAGGCAATGCCCCACCAGACCCACAGGCAGCACAGCCGGTCTGGTGTGGCTCCTGGGCCTGAGCCAGGGGCAGAGAATCCGTCCACGCCTACCCCTTCAGCTGGGTCACACGCTCAGAACCTCACTTCTGATTCCTTCTGCTCGGTACCTTTCCCAGCTTTCTGGAAAATTCCTAATCATCCTTCAAGATGCAGCTTGAGTGCCTCCCAGCATCCACCCCCAAAACAAAGTTAATCACCCCCTCTCTCCTGTGTTCTGCTCCACCACAGTCTAAGCGTTAAGTTCCCGTCTCCCCCGGACACAGAGCAAAGCACCTGGTGTGCAGAGAGCTTGCTCCGGAGATGGCACTCCGCACAGTCACCGAGTGGCTGAGTCACAGAGGTGGGAGTACAGGCTGGTCAACAATGTAAGAAACAAATGGTCCTGAAATACATACATGGCTTAGGCATTCTCACCTTAGGGACTAGAATACCATTTCCTCCTTCTGTGCAGCTCAGAGGCTGGGGGAGGAGGGGTACAGTGGGCGGTCCCAGCTGCCCTCAGCTGTCAGCTTCTCTGGGCATTGCCCTCGCCAGGGGAGCTACGGCCGCGGCCTTGTCCTGGAAGCGGCTCTCCAGGAGTTAGCTGATATCAGTCATAGAGGCCCGGACCCCCTACCTCATCGGAGCGCCTTTGCAAGGCCATCTCCGCTCCGGAGCGGCCCTTGGGGCAGACAGGCTGGGGCCTCTGTTGAGACGACACAGGCAGTTCAGCCTTTTTGCCCAAACACCCCCAAGGGCACCCCAACAAACCTACATCCGGCCTCCCTCCCAGAGTCTGTCTCCAGGGAACCTGACCTGAAACAACCCCGGATCCCCAGCGCAGAGCTGTCTGGCACATAGCAGATGCTCAGAAATACTTCCTGAAGAATGGGCTGTCTGCTTTTTCTGGTCTCTGCCGCCAAGGTTCCCCACATCGTGCCTTTCAAGGCCTCAGACGCTCAATAGATGCCCTCGCTCTGGGTGTTGGGAGCTAGAACCTATACCCTCCCCATCCCATACACACACTCACACACACACTCACACACACACACACACACACCCACACCCACACACACTCACACACACACTCACACACATACACACACACTCACACACTCAACACTCACACACACACTCAGACACACTCAGACAGACAGACACACACACACACACTCTCACACACGGCCGGACGCCGGGATGGGGGGGAGGTTTGAGGGGATATTTGGGGGTGGAGGTTTGGGGAGGATTTGGGGGTAGGGGGAAGGTTTTGGGGGGGGTACGGGATGGGGCTGGAGCGGGTTCCAGGGCAGGGAGCCGGGGGGAGCGGAGGCGGGGGGGAGCCGGGGGAGCCGGGGGGGGGGGGGGATCCGGATGGAGCCGGGGGGATCCGGATGGAGCCGGATGGAGCCGGGGGGAGCCGGGGGGGGGGGCCGGGGGGAGCCGGATGGAGCCGGGGGAAAGCCGGGGGAGCCGGGGGGAGCCGGGGGGAGCCGGGGGAGCCGGGGGGAAGCCGGGGGAGCCGGGGGGGGGGCCGGGGGGAGCCGGGGGGAAGCCGGGGGGAGCCGGGGGGAGCCGGGGGGAAGCCGGGGGGAAGCCGGGGGGAAGCCGGGGGGAGCCGGGGGAGCCGGGGGGAGCCGGATGGAGCCGGGGGAAGCCGGGGGGAGCCGGATGGAGCCGGGGGGAGCCGGGGGAGCCGGCCGCCTTCCACCCGCGTCCCCCGGGCTCAGCGAAGCCGGCGGCGGCCGGGCGGTCCGGTCCGGGAGCCCCGCAGGACGATTCCCGTTTAAAACGCCACAATGGCGGAGTTCCTTTATTCCCTCCCTCTGCAGAGGACACCACCACCCGGTTTTCCGCTGTGGAGACCGAGGGGAAAGTTTGCCGGATGGCCCGTTTCCCGGAAAAGCAAACCCCGCCCCCCCCACCGCCTCCATGACTGAGCTCCATCCACCGCGCCGGGGCCGAGCCCGCTCCCCGCCGCCCGCAGGGGCCCCGGCCCGCCCCACTCCGCAGCCCGCCCGCAGGGGCCCCGGCCGCCGCGCCGCCGCCCGCTCCACCCCGCAGCCCGCAGCCGGGACCCCGCACCCCGCCGCCCGCAGCCGGGACCCCGCACCCCGCAGCCCGCCGTCCGCACCCCGCAGCCGGGACCCCGCACCCCCGCAGGGGCCCCGGCCCACCGCGCCGCCCGCCCGCACCCCGCAGCCCCTCCGGGCCGCCCTCGCCCGCCGGGCCGCAGATCGGGCGGCCGTTGTGCGGGCGGCCGGGCCCCGGGTCCGAGCCCCCGGCCGCGGTCTCCTACCTGCGAGGCCCGCAGCGCCCCCGCGCCGCACCCCGGCCGGAGCCCCGCCGGCTGGCGCCTGCGCACCGGGCCGCCCGCCGCCTGCAGGCCGGGGTGCGGGCCGCGCGGCGCGGGTCTGGGGGGCGGGGGCCCCGCATTGGGCAGCGCCCGCCTCTGCGTGCCTTCCGCGCCCAGGCCCCGCGGCCCGCGCCCTTCCCCCGGCGCCGGCTGCGTGGGCGAGGCGGCTGGAGTCTCCGTCCCCGCAGCCCGGGAGCTGTGTGCGCGTGTGTGCGTGTGTGTGTGTGTGTGTGTGTGTGTGTGTGTGCGTGTGTGTGCGCGCGCGCGCGTGCGGGGGTGGAGGGTGCACGCACCCTGAGCTGGGAGAGAGCCCAGGCCTAGCGGGGGTGAAGGAAGCCGAGGCTGCACCCAGAGCACCCCGGCCGCTGCGCTGTCCAACGCCTTTCCACCGCCCCTGCCCCCACCCCACCCCCTGCAGAGGGGGAGCCAGGAGCTTCCGTGGAGACCCTGGGAGAGGACAGGCCCCGGAGAGGACAGGCCCCGGAGAGGACAGGCCCCCGGGGAGAGGACAGGCCCGGAGAGGACAGGCCCCGGAGAGGACAGGCCCCCGGGGAGAGGACAGGCCCCGGAGAGGACAGGCCCCGGAGAGGACAGGCCCCCCCCCCCCCCCCCGGAGAGGACAGGCCCGGAGAGGACAGGCCCGGAGAGGACAGGCCCCGGAGAGGACAGGCCCGGAGAGGACAGGCCCCGGAGAGGACAGGCCCGGAGAGGACAGGCCCCGGAGAGGCGAAGGGCTGTGCGATCTAAGGGAAGGAGGCCGCGCACCCTGGGTTCTGAGCGGGTGACAGGCGGCCTTGCCTGGGTGACAGGCGGCCTTGAGCCGCTCCTGCGTTTGGAGGACTCCCCTGCCTTTGGCTGAGAGGGTGGCCTGGGGCACCACACTGTGTCCTCCAGGCCTCCATTGGTAAAAACTGTCCCCCACTTCCTGGCACAAGGTTGTCCTCAGTCATCATTCCTGTCGTGCTGCTTCGAGCAAGTCACCCCTACTCTGTGCTTCAATTTCCTTGGCTGCTCTCTCCGCTTCCACAGATCTAACTGGTCAATGCTCCCTTTACTGGTGCCTGTGGCATTTATTATACATAGATTTGTGTAATGCAAGAGGTTAAGAAACTGCAAGCTGCCGAAACTGGTTTGGCTCAGTGGATAGAGAGTTGGCCTGAAAAGTCCCAGGTTCCTGTCAAGGGCACATACCTTGGTTGCGGGCACATCCCCAGTAGGGGGTGTGCAAGAGGCAGCTGATCAATGATTCTCTCTCATCGATGTTTCTAACTCTCTATTCCTCTCTCTTCCTCTCTGTAAAAATAATCAATTAAAAAATACATATATACATATATAAAAGAAACTGCGGGCTCCAAAAAGAAAGGAAGGAAACACCCGTTTCTGTACCCCTAGCACCCAGCACAGAGCTGGATGCTGAGTGGGTACTCAATAAGTATGTTGACTAAACAGTGCACATGCAGGTGAAAACACAGCACTTGCATGCACATTCTGGAGTTCCAGCCCCCTCTCCTACACCAATGATTTAATCGAATCTATTAAGATGGTGGCCACAGGTCGGACCTACAGGTTCCTGACTTCAAGTTCAGATGAGGAAATTGTTCCTTATTGATTGTAGGCAAAATCCCCCAAATGGTTGTGGTCATCAGGTTTAATGTATGCGGCATGTAACTATTCTGGTTGCTATGCCAATGCACTGCCTGTGCTCCTCTTCACTGCAATGTCAATGTTTAATCATATGTTATTGGGAACAGGGCTGCATCCATTGAGGATGCTGGTTGCCATAACAATAGGTTTCTTTTTACACATCAATACACACACAGCCACCAGCTCATTTTTCTTTCATCTCTATGCAGACTGTGCTTGTTCTAGATTCCAAAGGGTTTATTTTAGGTTTTCAGATTTAAAAAAAAGGGGGGGGGGTATGGAGCTACACAAACGTATGGCTTCTCAACAACATGCGTCCGTGAGGTAATGATTCAGACAGGCCAGGATGAGCTGGGAGACCCTGGAATGAACATGGTTTGGAGTTGCTGGGACACTTTTTCTGTTCATGTTGGTTTTCATACCTTCGGTGGCCTGCTTGCTGGAACACCTTCAGGGAGGGAGAGCCCTGCCCACGTTGATGGATTTGGGGAAGGTTCTGTCTCCTACAGCCAGAATTTGCTCTGCTGGTCCAGAATGTCCTCAGGGAGCAAGTGAACGAGTCCAACCCCTTGGCCCCAGTGTCTTCTCTAAGTTAACCCCCTAACCAGGAATGGACCCCCAACATTTAAAACACTGATGATTCGAACCCTGGTCAGTTTGTCCAGTGGTTAGAGCACCAGCCTGTGGACCAAAGGGTCACGGGTTTGGTTCCTGGTCAAGGGCACATGCCTCAGCTGCAGCCCAGTTGGGGCATGAACAGGAGACAGCCAATTGATGTTTCTTCCTCTCTCCACCTCCTCCCTCCCTTTCCACTCTTTCTAAAAATCAATGGGAAAAATATATATATTGATGATTAGAAACACCGAGAAAACTTATTTGTAACACCTTTCTGTTCCTACAGATTTTAATTCACCATTGAGGCAATCCTTGTGTTTTAGGAAAATCATCAGGATGTGCCTTCTATGTAAGTGTGAAAACACTCCTGGTTTCAGCAACATGGCAGACTTTGCTAATAGCGAGCTTTCTAACACAAACACCCCCAAATCCTGGATAAAATATTACAAGAAAGGAAGCAAGCCAGCAAGCCAATACAGGAGCAAAGTAAATTCACTGCTGAACTTGTAAGAAGGGAAAACCAGCAGGAGCCGGAAACTGGGGCGAACAGAGCAAGGAAGCCTGCTGTCTCCCTTGTCCTAGAGGTAGCTATTGGATAGAGGCAGGAACCAGCTGCCAGGGAACTGTTGGATCACACACATGACCAATGATGGAATCTTGGAGCATGTGACAATGGGAGTTGGAACTGAATCCCCTGTATAAAGACTGGACTCTCGCCACCCTCAGACCATATACTTGAGAGCCCAGGGTGGGGAAGGCAGGGGAGAGCCACATTTCCATTAAAGGTGGCTAGCTTACGGTACCGCTCACCCCTGGTCCAGCACATCAAAGGCTGACAAAATTTGTTTGGCTTTGGGAATTGATACCTATATGTGTAACCACTAGAAAAATTTGTCTCAGTGAGGGCCAGAGCCCCAGCTGTTTCCCTTACCCCCACAGTAAGGGAAATAGCTGGATCTCTTTCTCAACTAAATATTAGAATTCATATTTTACGATGATGCTGAGGCACCCTATGAAAAAGAATCAATTGATCAAATTGCATTAGTTTTGCCTAGCCAGTTTGGCACAATGGATAGAGGGTCGGCCCGCAGACTGAAGGGTTGAGATATGATTCTGGTCAAGCGCACATACCTCTCGGTTGCAGGCTTGATACCGGGGCATGTGCAGGAGGCCACCAATTGATGTGTCTCTCTCACATCAATGTTTCTCTGTCTCTCCTCCCTTCCACTCTCTTAAAAAAAAAAAATCAATAGAAAAATGTCTTCCAGTAAGGATTAACAATAACAACAAAAAGTATCAACTTTTATTGCTTCTGAATACACATCACCACAAGCTGTGGTCGGCAAACTGTAGCTTGCGAGCCACACAGGGCTCTCTGGCCCCTTGAGTGTGGCTCTTCCACAAAATACCACGGCCTGGGCGAGTCTATTTTGAAGTGGCATTAGAAGTTTAAAAAATGTGGCTCTCAAAAGAAATTGCAATCGTTGTACTGTTGATATTTGGCTCTGTGGACTAATGAGTTTGCCGACCACTGACCACAAGGTTGCTGGCTTAAAACAATATCACTTTATTATCTCGTAGTTTGGAGGCCAGAAGTCCAAAATGGGTCTCACTAGGTCTCACGGTATAAGCAGAAATGCCTTCCTTTCTGGAGGCACTAGGATTTGTTTTCTTGTCTTTTTCCAGTTTCTATAGGCTTTCTACCTCCATTGATTGATGGCTCCTTCCTCTGCCATCAAAACCAGAAATGGACAGTGACAGCTTTTTCATGTCACATCACTGTGGCTGACTTTTGCCTTCTTTTCCCACCTTTTAGGGGCCCTTGTGATTGCATCGGCCCACCCAAATAATCCAGGATAACCCATTTCAAGGTCAGCCAATCAGCAAATGTAGTTCTATTTGCAACCTTAATCCCCCTAGCCATATAACATATTTACAGGTTCCGGTAATTATGATATGGACATCTTTGGGGACCATCATTCTGCCTGCCACAAAAATAGTAAAATGGCTCAAGTAACTGATCCTCTTATAAAGAGTTGGTGGAGATGAAAAGACTGAACCCAATTGTGCACCGTTAAGCCTTTAGTCATGTCGTGTTTCCTACAGCTAGCTGTAGTAACAAATTACTGCAAATTTGGAGGCTTAAGATATTTCTGGAGATCAGAATCCAAAATGGGTTTCACTGGGACAAGACCAAGGTGTAGACAGAGCCGTGCTCGCTCCGGAGGCTCCAAGACAGAATTGTTTTCTGCCTTGTGGCCCTTTCCAATTTCCAACCTTCAAAGCCATCTTCCAATTTCTGTTTCTGAATTCACACTTTTCCTGACTTTCGACCTCCCAGCATCTCAATTTATAAGGACCCTTGTGATTACACTGCGCCCACCAGAATAATCTCACTCCCAGACTTTAATCACCTGCAATGTCCCTTTTACCATTCCCAGGTTTCAGGGGTTAGATATTTCATCTACCAAATTTGTCATGCCTACTAAAATGACATGGAATCAAGGCATGGGAAATACTCTGCTTATGGAAGAAAAATGGGGATATGTAGAAAAAATATTAAAAGTGTATATATATATATATATATATATATATATATATATATATATAAAATGTATATGTATATATATATATATATATATATAAAATGAACTTTTTCAGCAATCTATCATACACTCAGTAAGGCCTTCAATAAGTGTTTACGGAATGGGACTTTGGATCCTGGTGATTCAAGGTGATACACTCTTTGAGGGCTTCCTGAACAGACCTATGAGCATCGATCATCTTATTACCATCACAGCTATCTGGGCTTCAATTCCTGCTAGGTCTGCATGGGCAAAGTCATCTTAGCAAAGGTGGATGAAAGCTATAATTTAAGATGTTATTTGCTTATTCCAATTATAATGCTGTTGTCACATTTAAATTTAGGCTCTGAATTTCCTTTCTTCTCTA